GGTTAACGTCGAACGCGGTTGTTACCGCGTAACGACCGCGACATGCTAATCGTTCGTCATTTTTCTAATTTACTCGCGCGCAGAGACAACGAGAGGAGTCAAGAGCAAGACTCGGATTCTCGAAAATTTGTTTGTCGATCTGAGCGAAATCGTCATTTAAAATCTTCCGATGAAAGTTTGTCAACAGTTTTTCACTTAATCGAAACTAATCCACTTTCTTATCCAATCCGAATTTAATCCAAACTCAGCTGGCTCTCGTTTTTCAACCGCTTGCGCTGGGCAACCGATTGCGGACCATAACGAGCGACCAAACAATCGTATAAAATGACTCGTCGCCTTCTTTTCGAACTCGTCGGTTATGACTATCACTGGATAGAAATTATTGAGAAGCGATAAATTTATTTTGTTTCTGTTTTGCCTGGGTTGTACTTAGATATACTTAAAAGATATAGAGAAGATATATTAAGGTAATTTTGGAATAAAAAATTCTCGACGCGTCAATTCCAGCGCAAGAGGTTGAAATCGACATGTGAAATATCATTTTATTGAAGCTTTTTCTCTATCGATTCGAAGCTGATCAAATCGAATTCCACCGTGTCTGAAGTTTGCAGTGATTTTACAAAACATTTTTCGCTCGTCGATCCGGAGCGATCGAACGAAAATAAATAATTCCATCCGCAATCAATGGCATTACGATACGAACTCGATGAATATTTCTTCCCCGATATCAATATGAATGAATATTTGTTGTCGAACAATGATGAATATTTGTTCTCGAGATCAAGAGGCAGAGACCAAATACGGAGAAATCTAACGAATTACGAAACACCATCAAGCTCCGATCGAGCGTTTCTTTCACCATTTCCTTCCTGCGTGTACGCGTCGTTAACGCGTGCATTAACCTATCCCGAAATTTCGCAACGACTCGAAAAAGGAAACTCGTAATAAAGAGGATCGTCGCAGATCTTCGCCAGCACGATCGATAAGGAGATTTCCATGGGAAATTAGTCCCGATGTTGATGAACTGACGCAACTCGCGTCAGTCACTGTACAACACCTCGCAAGTTCTCTTTTGAGAACACATATCTTTAGGTAAATTTTACTTAGGTCGCGTAGATTTTACTGCTTGCCATCGTGGTAATATTTACGCAATGCTATTCACTGTAGTAGCAGCAATTAGTAACTACACTATATTTATCGATGAAAGTTAGCTCGTCAAATTAGAGATCATTATATTTTCACATCTTTCACATTTTTCTTGCTTATAGACAACTTAGAGAATTTATTAGTCTCGCAATCAGTCAATTTCGGGTTTCTTCTCAAAAAAAAAAAAAAAAATAACAATTGCCATGTCCAAGTAAGTAGACTAACCAACGAAAGTAAGTAGTATCTTGCAGGCAACGGGACTAGTTTTCAAATATATTACTCGATATGTATTATTCGAGGAGCTGAAATCATTTTTGTATGTCTTGCAAAGAAAAGGAAAAAGTGGTGATTTTCGTAACGTTGGCCGATAACCGCTGACGAAGAGGAGAATGGTCACGCGTACGTGACAGCGGCCGACAATGTGCTAAGGAGAAGGGATCGCAGATGAAACGAATGAGAAGCTGGACGGGCGGAAAAAGCGCCTAGGATGTTTATCCGAGAAGGAAGAGATCAGAAAAGGAGGAGAAGGACTTCGGGGCCGAAAGTAATAAACGGAAGGTAGAACGAGCTTCTTAAACCGAGGGGAAAGGAGGGACGAGGCCGATTCCAGGTATAGAGAAGAAACGTTGAATTAATTAATGGAAGGAAGCTGCTTCGCACACGTATGTATGTAGCTATCTCGGGCGATAACCGACGCTCGGCTTGAAAGGAACACGCCCTCCCCGTTGCTGCAAGTCGTGAGGTTTCGAATATGCACTGAAACTTACACGTGTACACCTTTATGTATTCCATGGTTGGCAAGGGACTGAGTAGTAAGAGATTGAAAGAGGAAATTGTTGAAATTAAAGAATATTGTGGAACGCGCGCTCACGTGAGAGTAAAGAGACAAGGTCGCCAGACACGATCTTCACGTTTGAACCTACGATCGATCATATCGTCTTTCGCGGTGAAACACATTTTCGTGACGACGAGTTAACTCGTCGTGCGTAGTCAAAAGGTTGATACACGCCTTTCATCGATTTTTGGTGTGTCATTGACGTGTCGAAGGACGCACGGCATTAAAAATTATTACCGCTACGTCTCGTCCGTATCACGTGAATACAGGGACCTTCAGACGCAGCAGACAAATGAGCTGTTGGCCACCTTTCTCAACTTCCCTTCCTCCACTCGAGCAATTACCGAAAACAAAACCGTCGTGCGCACATAGAAACGAGCGAAAAGGGAGGTTAAAGCGAGCGACGAGGGGTTAGAGAAGCCGAAGATGTGAAGCAAGGCGAGCAACAGCAGCAGGAGGCGAACGATCGCGGCGAAACTCGGCAAAAGAACTCGGGAGAAGTTCGGTGCAGTAAGGAGCAAAGACAAAAACGAGGCTACACCGGTCACGACGGACCAAACGTATTAAAGGGGTTGGGAAGAGGGGGGGAGGGGCCCGGGAGAGAAAGACCGAGACTGGAAACCGGTAGAAAGGAGAGAAAAATAGCGAGAACGAGGTGGTAGGAGAGAGGAGAGAGAAAGAGAGGGAGAGGGAGATGGAGATACTACGGGCGGACCAAGAGAAAGCAGAAACGAGCAGCACGGGCACGTAGAGGCAGATCACCGACACAGACACAAGGGAAAGGGAAGGAGAAGCCGAAGGAGCCGGAGGATGGGGTAAAACGGACCCACCGTGAGCCACGTTCCCACGATCTCATGAATGAACTCGCGTGGCTACTCGCCACGTGGTGGGGAGGCTACTCTCCTTCCTCTTACCCTTGCTTCCTCTTCGTCCCTTACCGGCAACAGGCAACGACGTCGTCGTCCACGGCCGTATCTTTCGCCTGTCCTTCCTTTCGTGGTTTCTTTCTCTCTCTCTACCGGGAGGCAAAACCGAGACCTGGACACAACCAGGTGTGGTAGGGGTAACATCCCACCGTGGATCTACGTAGCCGGGGGTAAAGAACTCGGGGTCATCCTCGGGAAAGGATACGACACGTCGTGTCCGTTCCCGAGGAAATTTCAGACCGATTTCTCCACAGCCCTTCTGCAAACGGATTTTTCCATCGTCTCGGTTGGAGAAAGTATCATATTGATGGTTGGCCGTTTAGGGGGTTTGGGAATTTGCAAGAGCAGTCGGAACGGAGAATTGTTGAGAGTCTAAATTCTTTGTACACTTGCTCCATAGAGGATTGAACTTCGTTTCTGATTCGATGAAAGAACGATACTATATTACGCATACTTACTATCTAGTTAATAAAGAGACAAGAATAAATACGAGGTAAGGTGTTCGAATATTTAAGGAAAAACGGACGGAGCACGACTAACAATTGTAACGGTATCTGTTACAAAGAATCATTTCACGTGTTGAAATATTGGGCAATGAGGTTACGTCGGAAACGAATACGGAGATGATTTCAGCGGTGCCTTTTTTTTTTCTTTTTCTTTTTTTTGACTCACTTCCGGTGAGTCGATTCGTTGACAAAGACTTTGAAAAGTTTCCTCAATGGTCGAGGAAATAATTAATAAGTTGTAAAGGCTGATCTCTTACGAATTCCGCCAGGCCCTATCGTCGAGATTCCAATTTAAAATTACTTTAAAACGATTATTAAATTAATCGGAATTAGTATAATCTGTCGCGAATTCTCAGCAATCCGAGAACTCTAACAGCACTTTCTGTCGTCGCGCAATGGACGCGAGTCCATCGATCGAACTCCTATGCGTATAACGGCTTTGATTTAGGTGTTTCGCTGTGTCGACTACTATAAAGTCGCTGACGCAACTTATATATTAAACGGCGATGCGTCGGGACGGTTGGAACGGTTGCACAAGAAACGGAGCAGGTTTCGCGGTAATTGCGCTTTGCAATTGTAAAAAGAGGCGACCACACGGTGGGGGCAAAGTAATTCCGGGCGATTCGGTCTGACAGAGCGGCAGCGTATTGAAATTTTCTGAGAAATTGCGTGCTTTTTACCACGGCTGCCCCAATCCCACTAGCGAATTGAAAGAAACTAGTCTACTCCTACTATCGGCGATACACAATTTCCTGTTAATTAATTCTCTGTACGCAAACGTGCGTTTTTACATTCGTCGGTCGCAAACTGAATCACCCAGCTTCATAATCCCGGGCGTATAATCTTTTTATCGTTCTATAAAAATTTTTACGTCGTTTATCCTCGATGGATCGCGGATTTCCGTTCGTAGGAGATTTGAAACGTGCAGAAACATTCAGTGCATCGAGATGTTCTGTTTGTCTAGTTGTATAAATGTATAGTTGTATGGCTGTTATAAATGTGTCTACTGTCGCAAGAAGTGTGTATAAAATATTTGATATCTTCCGGACGGGGATAAAGATCTGAAAGGAAGACGAACGACAAAATCTCGGTGACTCGTTTCTGTGCAAGTACTCGATCACCAGATTTGGTAAACCAATCGTATGAAAATTTTATTTTTAACAGGGAATTTACTTTCACGGCGCTCAAACCAAAAACTCGAAAGAATTCGCGATTCATAAAACATCTTTCAGATCCTAGAACAGTATTTGACAAAAGAAAAGAAAACAACTCTACAGAAAATAGAAAAATCGTGACATTCAACAGAAATCCAAAGAACAAACGCAGAAAATCGGTCGGACTGCAATATATTTCGACTTGTGCTCGGGAAAAGTATTTTTAACCGTATCCGTGACATGATGGCAGGACGCATTAACGCAGCCGAGTTATCAGTCAGCAAAATCAGAAATCAAGGCTCGATATATCAGGGCGAATTAAACCGTTACGGACTACTAATTGCGGGACCGGGTTTCGTGGCCGTCCACGGAGATAAACCGGCTTGTCGAATCACGTGAGAAAACACGAGAGAACGAGAGGCCGCTTCCTTTATTAGTTCCTGGTCCACCCTCTGCGGCCTGGCTCTCTCTGGTTGCCTCTTGGTGAATGAAGCCGAGTCGCGTGGCGCCTCGTGACGTCACAACCTGTTGCTACCTGTTTCTCTCCTTCCTCCTTTATTCCCTTCGCGTGTGTACCTTCCTATCTGTTCCTTATCGACCAACTCTCCCCTCCAACAGCAGCTCGCCGTACGATATCTCTTTCCCTCTTGTTTCGTGTACACGTAACACGCTCTTGGTTATCTCGAACGACTCTGAACATATCCCGAAGTTAAGATTTTGATTATATATCGATATCAAGTTTGAAGACTAAGATTTCGCTCCGGGAGAGAGCATTTTTGGAACTTTCGAATTGGAAATTAAAGATCGGTTTGCCTTCAGGCATCTTGGGAAACACTCTGCACTCACCTGAAATTGAGATTCCGATCGTATCGAAACTTGAACCGAGCTCGAAAACCAAGATTTCACTCCGCGAGATTTTTGAAACTTTCCAACTTGGTTTTCGAAGATTAAAGATCGAAATAAAGACGACTATTGGAATATTCTTAATGCGTCGCAGGAAACTTGGTTCCGAAATTTCAATTGGGCAGACTCTCAGATAATTCAGATAATGAAACTTGAAGGAACTCGGATTTCCGGGCATTAAATGAGGATTACATTGAAAATTTTAATTCCGTTAAGATCTGGGCTAAATTTGAAAAGGCGAAATCTCAGGAGAACGACAGCTTAATGTAATTTGGAGTTTTGTAAATTAAATGGAACACAGATAATAGAAATGTTTTTTCTGCAGCCAGCGCGAGTTCTAGCAAACTTCTGTTTAATTATACGAAGAAACGAATCGTAAATATTGGCGAAACTTGCTAAAGTAACGCGACCTCGAGGATTCTTCAGGTTCCGTCCGAGTCCAGGAAGATTCCTGTTTTACCTATCGTGGGTTACGTGGACGACGGCCACGCCGCCTATGTAGAAGGCCTCGAAGTCTCTCTGCACAGTGCAGGATAAACAGAACCGGTAGAGGTAGCCACTTTCCGGTTTCGATCCGGTGGCCTCGGCCGCACGCTGCAAAATCATTCGCAACACAGATCGGCGCAGCGACAAGCGCGTATGCATTTTTTACGAGACTAAACTATCTTTAAATCCCGCTCAATAAGGTGTCGAGCAGAGAGAGAGAGAAAGAGAGAGAAAGAGAGAGAGAAAGGTTCGTTTCTATCGAACGCCTCCGACCAATGCCCCCGGCAACGTCTATTTAAGGCGAACAGAAACACACCGATCGCGAACCGGTATAATCGAACACGACTCCCACCGCGCGCGCGCGCGCGTGTGTGTGTGTGTGTGTGTGTGTGGTGTGCCTTTATCAAAGCTATTTACCATTTATCAGCAATGAAATTGATTACTCTGCAAATCGATGAAAATACATTTGCAATTACATAACGCCAAACGATAACAATTTCTTTTTTCTTTCTTATTTTCACGAATTATTTACGATCTGACCCATATTGAGACTGTAGCGATCGGCTATTTTTTCATAGTCGATAATTTTCACCAGAGACCAGCGAATTTTGTTGTATACAATTTGGAGAAATTTAACAAACTCGTAAAACGCGAAACGACACCGAGTACACGTAAATCGATGAATATAACATTGACACGTATATGTTCGAACTTATTATAATTCATTTTTAGGCGGAGAATCGCGCCAGTTATAACGGGCCGCGTAAAAATACGCGAGGAAACGAATAACGGTAACAAGTATTGGGGATGAATTTAGACGGAGCACAAATCGGAGAGAAAGAGATCCCCCGGTGGCGGGAAAGCAGAGAACGACACTTGAAGAATTTATACTCGCTGGTCTAAAAATAGGGGATCGATGCATCGTATTCTTGGTTCGAAGAATGAACAGCGGTATAAATCATTGAAATAACAAGCTGCCAGTCAGCGATAACTAATTCCAGAGATCGATACGCGACAGTTACCCGCGGTGCAAGATAAATTCGTCGCTGAACTTAACGAAAATAATCGGCGTCCTCCACCATTGAGAAACACAAGTATCAATGAAGATGTACCGAAACTCTTTGCCAATTGCATTAACGTAATCTAAAATAAAAACCCATTACTTTCCACGTCTCTATTGTCCTTTCCAGAATCGATGAAATATTTAGCCGATCGAAGCTGAATTTACTAAAAATAATCGATCTATTCCCCTGCTATAAAAGAGACACTTATCAACGACACGTTCACAAACCCAGGATAATAATCTAATCGCTTCGATTCTATTATTCTCTTCTTCCAATGTACAATGAATTTATATATATACATCAACGTTCTCCATCTTTGAAAGGTACAAATATCAATGAACGAGTATCGAAACTCTTCGCTAATTGCATTAACGCGATCTAAATTCGTTTCGATTTTTTTGTCTTTCCTGTCTAAAGAATACATATACAGATTCTATGAAGAATTCAGAAACAATCAACCTGCTCCGGCTTCGCAAATAGCAAACATCACATTGCTAAATTCCTATCGCGGATCTCAACTAAACTATGTGAATTTATTAATTAATACGTGCCCGTTACCAAAGAACCAGGTATCAATGAATAGACACAACACCGCCTCCGCAAATTTTCCTCGCACAATCCATTATAATAAGTGTGATTAACTACGTCATTCCACTCCTATTAGTCTCGTCGTCCGACAAGAGAAATATGTATACACAAGACTCGGCGAACAATACCCCGTGCAGAAGCTTCTGAAGAAGGTCTGGTTCTTCACGGTCCTCAAGGAGCGTTGTAAGAGAGCGGAGGGCAATTTGGAAATCTTGAAATTCTCTCCTCTCTCACGAGCGCAGCATCTGTGTTCACTGGCAAACGCGAGGCCGGTGAACGAGGGAAAGAACGGCGACGAAAAGAAAAAGGAGGGAGAGAGAGAGAGAGAGAGAGAGAGAGAGAGAGAAAGAGGGTTTGTTTGAAACTGTAAATCGTCGTCCTCGGGGATCGAGGACGTGAGAACTGTATCTGCGTCTGGTCGCCGGTAGGTAAGCAAACCGGGCCGAACGAGAGACAGGGACGAAGAAGTTGAAGCAGTCCACGGAGACAGAAAGAAGGAGAGAAAGGGGAGACAGAGGGGGGGGAGAGAGAGAGAGAGAGAGAGAGAGAGAGAGAGAGAGAGAGAGACTGTTCGACCGCACGCACAGCTGCGGTTACGCATTTCGCGCAATGCTTCTTCTCCGCCGCAGTGTTCTTTGCACACACGACCGGAGAAACGGCCCACGCCGACGATCGATTCCCTTCGATGATAAACGAACGTTTCTTTTTTTAAAAGCAACCCAGGAGACGTTGTAACACGTAGAGGTTGTAACGCTCGAGATGAGAGTGAACGGAAAGGAAGAGAAAAGAGGATAAAAGGAAGAAAGATTGTAACGCGTCAACGTGGGAGACTCGAATCGCTATGGTGATTTCTTTTTTTAACCGATCGTCGAACAAATATCGTTAGGGCGTTAAGACAGATACGTGCCTCTAGGGATTTATGCTAGAAATTCATTGAAACCTAAGTCGGCGGATTTCATCTCACTTTGTGTTTTATAGTCTTCAGAGAGGTCACAAAATCATTTCAAAATTGACACTGGAACTATCTATAACTATAACTAAAGTGATCAAAATCAATTTATAATTTTTGTTACATATTTTATAGACGTAAAGCAGCATTTTTAAAGACTTAAATCGTTATTCGTAAGATATACAAATAAAAGTCCATCGTATTATAAAGTCTCGCTAAATATTTTTTTGGACTTCAGTGTCTCCGATGGAAATTTTATTCTTTAATCGTCGGAGTTCTAATGTCAGATAATTAAGTAAGAGTTAAGTTAGAATTTTTTACTGTCTTACTCGCTGTCGACTCACTTCTTTCAAAAATAATGTTGAATTTCATTCAAACAAGCGGAATTAACTTTTTTTTCTAAACTTTACAATTTCATTTGCTTGACCGCCAATTTCATTTACAAAAAGAACCCTTCACGTCTCCTGTTTCATCCACATTATCCGTGCAATCAATCACACTTTACCTTGTCATCATAATCGTTTTACCTTTACCTAACAATGCAGGGAAGAAACTTACAAGAATTTCACGGCTGCGTCGTTTAATTACAGTGGGAAAGGATTAAAAATAATCGATGGATCGAACGAGCTGGTACGTAGGAGTAACAGGTAGACGCAAGTAGAATGCAAACGGTGGATAATATAGAAAAAAAAAAAAAAAAGGCGAGCGACACAAGCGTGGGACCGGTCAACATGGTCCCATAAGTTCACGTTTCCCTTTCATGATCCTTTCGAGCGTGCACCCTCGTCCAATCGCTCTTCCCCACGATCACGCACATTCTCATGCACTCGTCAGGCTTCGACCGCATTTTTTCCTTTATTTCTTTTTTTTTTTTTCCTCCTCTTTCGACGTTTTCCCTGCCACATTCTGCTCCGTCTCGAATACTCCAACGATCCGATCTCTGATTTTTATCGACAGTCTCTTCAACGAGATTTCAACTGACTTTGGTGACAATCGATCCTTCGTTTTCCAAAGCGGAAAAAATATACGAATGACGATCGCGAGGCGCTAGTTTCTCGGAGTTTCTTCGCTTGAAAGATTCGTTTGTCTATTTCATTTGTGAATCGAAGAGGATCGAAGAGAAAATTCGATGTCGAGAATTTCTTCTTTTGAAATTTTATTATTCCTCTTATGTCGATGTCATGCAACATCATGTCTATATTCATTATAATTACTACTAGCAATCATAAAAAATTTTATAATTCAGTTAAATTTAAGTATAACGTCTCCTCTTACAGAGGACGGTCGAGTGCAGAGGAAATATCAAGATACCAAGATAGATGAAAAAAAAAAATAAGAACACGCGAAGACCACTTCACAAGCATCCTGAAACAGCCTAACAAATCTTCGCGCGGTGCATGGCGAATCTTCGGGGAAAATCCAGAGAGTGACGTTTTCGTTTCTTTCTGTTCTCTTGGAAATTCCAAGAGAGATACAACAACGACGTCCATTCGTCGACATGCACCACTGACGACGACGTTGCACCCGCAGAAAAAGGGCCGTGTTTTTACCGCCGGTGGAAGAAAACGTGGAAGGGGCCCTGGCATTCGAAAGTCGTCGCCTGGGTAAACTTCAGCTCGCGCGCGCTCGTATCTTTCAGTCCCGCCACTTTTAAATAACACTACTGTACCTGGTCTACGTGACTAGACTCTCTCTCTCTCTCTCTCTCTCTCTTCGTCTGCCTGTACACCGACGAATCTTATCAATCACACGTCGTGCAAGAGACACAGACGAATATTTTCCTTTCCACTCCTTAAACGACTCGTCGGTGCCGTTCATCCGCGACACGGACGACACGCGCCATCGCGAAATTTTCATCGAAACAACCCACGGACTGTCAAGTGGAGGACGTCGTAAAGTTTCACGACGTTGTTGTCCGGAATCTGTTACGAGACAACGAAGATTCTCCAAGCCCTTTCTTCCAGCAAAATCACCAAAATGCTGAACTTTTACAAGCTTCAACGCAATGAGTCAATGAAACGATCTTCTGCGGAGATTCACGAAGAAAAACTGGCTGTTTTCAACAATTTTCGTGAACAGTAGAAATATTCTAGGTCTGACGATAATCTTCTTTTAGATTTCGATGGGACTGCCAGATTAGATCTACGGTCGAAACCAGTTGTTACCTTTTTGCCTGTGTAACATGTACTGATTAACGAGGCATTTCGAATTTTTTTTTTTTTGCAAAATTTTATCGCGATGGAAAACTCTGGTGATAGTCGCTTGGCGACTAGGGTAACAAATATCCAAGAATAAAACGGACGACGATCCTCTTAAAAACTAAGCGCAGATTCTATTTTGAATGTAATTGCGAACAGCAGAATAATTTAGCTCGGATTTTAAAGCTGTCGCGCGATTCAATGAAAACTTCAGGTGTTAATTTCAAACGAATTATAAATTTCTTCATTTATATTGGAAAATCTCCATCTCGGCCGTTTCTATTATTCACCGCATCGATCAATTATGGATATTCTTATTTTTCGTCTCGATTACGTCCGCAAACTACGAAGACGATCGAGGCCACTTGGAGAACGAATCATTCATCAGACACCGATTCAAATTCCTCGCCATCTCGTACTATTTCATCAAATAATCGTGCCTCGAATCATTCAGGAAGAAACGATGCACTTGAGAAGAGCAACACCAAAAAAGAAAAAAAAATCATTTAACCATTTGCGCTGGCAACTGATTGCGGACCATAACGAGTGACCAAACCGTATGCCAATAATTCGTCGCTTTCCTTTTGAACTCGCCGGTATGACGTCACTCGGATTAGAAATTACTGAGAAGTATACAATTTATTATTTGTTTCGCCTGTTTTGTTCGACTTAAATATACTCAAATCTGAGAAAATATTGGCAATTTTGCGAACAAAAGAATGCTCGACGCGCGTGGTCATCGGAGAACATGCTGAGAGAATACTGAAAAGCGAACTATTTGTTAACGTTGTAACGTTAATTCAGTAGGTAGAAACAAATCTCCGCTTTAGGCTGCATTACTTTCAATTCTATATTCGTGAAAATATGAAATTGCGCCGGTCTACTAACATAGCGAAAGAATACGACACTTGGCTAGATTATTAGCATTCTGCCGCTATTGTCAACTCCCTTTCGAACTTACATTCCTCCCCATTGTACATCCACCTCGGTTCGAGAAAGGATTAACCCGCTGAAAGTTGCTCCAAGATTTTCAAAAGCGAGGGAGCTGTCGATCGTAGCGTTCAATTTGTCATTCCAAGAAGCGAACCTGTAGTGACGCGGCTACGCGCGTTATGTATGTACGTGTGTATGTATGTATATACAATTTATTCCGCAGCCAGGTAGCGAGTATACCGGATGAGCATGGCTCGACGTCTTACGTGCCCTGTGTGCTACGAAGGGCCACCTGACGAAGAAAGAGAGCCCCAACTACGCTCACTTTTCTCCATGGTCATGTGTGTTACGGTATCGAAGGACAGACTTGTGCCAAGTCTTTCCGCTGCCAGTGCATTTTTCTTTTTTTTTTTTTCTTTAACGCTTTTCTTCACGCAATCCATCGAAATGCACTCACGAAGATCAATACCACACGCTGATGCGACAAACATCCGGTTGGTTTCGACCGATGAATTCGTTTCGAACGAATTCTGCATAGCACGTGGTGCAACACTTGCTTCGTTTCTCTTTGACACGTGACAAATTTCTATATTTCTCTCTCTCTCTTTCTCTTTCTCGAGGAAAACTGAGGAGCATCTTCGAAGGCAGTGTAAATGCAACCTGCATTAAAACTCTCTGGTCGTGGTTAAAGTTCGTAAGTAGGTAAACAAGGGTAAGAAGGACCCAAGGGCCAAATGATAGAAATCAGAGATCTCACGTCGGATCCTTACAGTTACTGTCCACGAATTTTCCTTCTCGTTTGAACGAATAGAGAGAGAGAACGATCCGAACGTGGAATTGAAATGAGAAATGAATTTGCACACGAAGTGCGATGAAATTGTAATTTTGAGTCTGATAAAAGTCAGAATTAATTTGATCAAAATTATAGCTATGTGTTTTTGGTAGGTACAAGGGCAAGCTTGGATCGAAAAAGATAATTCGATAATTCTAGTGTTGTCAACCATTCTTTACTTTAGTCAATATTAAAAAATACTCTGATGCAACAAAGTCAGAGACCAATCAAACTTTATGAACGTAGCCAAAGAAAACGAAGACTCGTTTTGTCTATTAAAAATTCTATCGTTCACCATTTACATTATTACACGCGTTCCGTATAATTTTTTTGCATCCTGAAATTTCGCACGAACGCACGAAAATTCAGAACTGTTACCTAGTTCTCGGCGGAAAAATCTCCATCCGATTTTCAGTCCAGTCTCCGCTTAGCGTGGATTACTAATCTCACTTCCGATCAATCTTTCGTCGTTTTCGACCGATCTTGATCAACCGACGAGAAAAAAGAAAAAACATTTTCAAGGACGCTTTCGACCGTAACTTTCGCAAATCTTTATCTCTTTATCATTCGTATCTCTAAACGCGAGATCCAGATTAGCGCGATTAGCCGGGAGGGCAATTATCGCCCGGGTCAGAGTTTGCTGCTCAAGACGAGACGATTAATTAATTCGAAAGCCGACACGATTGCGATAATTAGAGGAACGAGAGGTTTCCTCGCTGGTCGTGCGGTTCGTTCACGCAATTTTCTTGTTAGACGGACAGAAGCGTCTGGCAACAAAGCTTTCCCAGTCCGGTAAAAGGCTGGACGCGGTGAGAAGGAAACGCGGAAAAGAAACAAATTTTCACGCGCGCGTACGCGCGTCAATGTCGCCGCGGACAATGGCTATTTGCATAAAACATTCCGGCCGGCAACTGTCATCAGACGTCCTATCAAGTGGCAACGGGGTGAGAACGAAGATCCGGTGACAATGGCGAGCCGAACGGTTGTTACGACTAGTCTTGAGAAAACTTGCATTATTCAATGGCCTCCTGCGATCGTCCCAGGAAAATGTAAACGTCTCTCCTCGTCTCCTCGAATAAAATAATCCCTCCTCTTTTTCTTTTTTTTTTTTTTTCTTTTCACGTCGCGAACCGATCGAGGAACCGATCTTTTATTTAAACACTACGTTTGCCTCTTTGAAGGAGACACTTGGCATATTTATTACACGTCCAGCTGTAAAGTTGCAATCGCTCACACACAAGAATCGTTTACATTCGCGAATTAACACGATTAACGGGCAGCTTTCAATTTGCTTTTCGCGTCGATGCGACTCCAAGAACAAACGTTGAGAATAAACGTAAGATTTACCTTCGGCTTGAGGTGAAATTATGAGAAGAATTTTTCTATTTTATCGATGCGCGCGAATATCAAATACGTCTCGTCTGTTTCATTTCTTCCGCGAACTTCACACGGATCCATCTCGAATTTTTTTTCGTCACAAATTAGGAAAACCTTGTTTATGGGGGATACCTTCTAACGCGATGATTTTCGTCGAGTTCGCGCAGAGATTGAGAAAGACTTATTAAACCGATGTTAACAACGAATCGCTCGAGTCTTCGCGAGGAGGAGTTTGACCTGCAATTCCAAATGTTGGAGCTTCGACAGACTTGTCCACCTAGCTTTCCATAGGGAAAACGCTTCCTTCGTCGACGTGTGACGTCCACGCCGACGAAGGTTGAACGACTCGCAACGAAACCGCTAATTACTAGAACCGCGACGCGTTTGTTAACCGTTCACGGTTGATTAAACGCCTCTATACACTCCGTTCTGCCTTGAAAAATTTTATCGGCCGTGTCATTCATTATAATCGATACGCGAGCATACACACGCGAGTGACTCACAAAAGTATTTCAACGCTTGCATATGTGCATTGCATGAAATATTTTGAAATTTCATTAGCACCGTTCATCTCATTGAAACGATCGTCGCTACGCTGTTTGAATTTCGAACAACACGTTTATTGTAGGCATATATCTAGCAAAAAAAAAAAAAAGTTGAAGTGCAAACAGCCATTTTAACCTATTGCGCTGGAATGACGTACCGCGCACGTCGAGAATTTCCTGTGCCAAATTGCAACGTTTTCTCAGTTTTAAGTACACCTAAATGTAACCCAGGCGAAAACAAATGAGTTTAACTTAACTTCTTAACAACATCTGTCCAGCGATAAAAGAAGAAAAAAGCGACGAATTATTGTATAACGGTTCGGTCGCTCGTTATGGTCCGCGAACCAGTTACTAACACAAGGGATTAATGCCACGTAGAAATTTTCGAAACTTCAAACAACGAACGAAAGTTTATTGTTACTCGAATTTCTGCTACTTTCGTCGACTTTAATCCCGCACATCGTGTGCACAAGTCATTCTTCGTGGCTTTCCGTCGAAGAAAATCGCGTTGGTGGAAAGCAAAGCGCGGCGGCTGGAACGGAATCACCGTGTTAAAACGTTTCCAAGGATGATTCACGGGTCACGCGAGAAACGGTGGAAAAGCCGGTGGAATCAGTGAAAAATTGCGATCGTGTGCGTAACGAGCGCAACCGTAGAGGAGTTGGATAAGTGGGTGGACACGACGGTGGATCCAGCAGCAGATCGGAGCAGAGTGCGTGCGTACACGCGCACGCACACACGCCAGGCAAAGGAGAATGGAAGGCGGGGGCGTTCCAGTGGGGGGGCCTTAATGAGGATGCTGCTGATTATCCAATTCGTAAATTCTCGCTACATTTTGATCGTGCTCGCCGAGCCGCGAGTAACAAGAATTACTCTGTGCTCCGCTACCACCCGATTGCCTCTGTCCGTTCTCGCCGATTTCTCGCCGATTCCACGCGTGTCCCGCTTTTACTTTCCACTCTCCTGCCGATTTTTTTTTTTTTTTGTCCAAGCAACAACAACACGACCGAAACGACAATCGCGACGATCACATCTTGTTTTTTTACTCTGAGGGAGTAAAATCGTGTACTTGCCATTACCAGTTGAATTTCATGGAATTTTCGTGTATCGATGTATGTGTATTATTTTCTTAATTGATTTGACTCCGATACACGAATATTATCCATTAAATTTTGCCCAATCGTTACTGTAACTATATAGGAAGTCTCTACTAAAACAAATTCGTAATTCTTTTATTTCTTTTTTCATTCCAACGTTTGAGAAAAACAATTTTCAAAACGTAATGAAAAAAAAAATCATGTTTCAATTTAAATTTAATTTAAAATTAACGAAATTAGTTTTTTCTTATATCTCGATGTTTTATTGAAAAAAAAAAAAAAAAACAGGTGAGAAGAAACTTTTGGCCCATCCTGTATATCAGATAAGGTGAGAAGAAACTTATCGCGCATCACGTGTCAATTCAATGCCGTGAAACTTACAAACGAAGAAATTGCAACAACTTTTGAATTTTAAAACTGATAACTCGAGATACCCCGAGATCGTGCGAAACGAACATTCGGGTCAATCTGACACGAAATACATCCAATATGAAATAGATGATGAACGTTTTTTCCTCTTTCGGCTGACAGGTTTTTAATCGATATTTCGGTCGGTTCCTCTAAGGGAAGGGAATGTGTACACCGCGCATATTAACCACTTTGCTGGCTGCATTGACGCAATTGCACCGTCGAAGAACTGTTCACTGTCAAGGACGAGTCGAGTCTTCTTCCTTTAGACGCAGACGACGCTGCATTAAAACAGTACGGATTGTATAATATCGAAATATTGGGAACGGTGTGGCCATCGTGGCAGAATGGAATTTTGCAAGAGAGCACACACGCTCGCCAACAACAACGGTGCTCTTTGCTCGCGCCTCGACTCTGGACATCCGATCGAAACGACGGATAACAACAGCCGGACAGATAACAGATGGACAGACTTCGTTGTTTAATATTTAACACATTATTCACGAGAAACGTGAATCGACGCCTTTTATTTTCCAACTGCTGGCAAATGGCGTGAATCAATATCTCGCGTTTATTGCGTTATTATATACTCGATACGTTTCCACATTATTGAATACGCCATACGTGCGTACGATAATTGTTATCGTTGATAACATCTGAACGCAAGTGAGAGTTGATCACGCAGGATGATCAGAGTTCAACGTTTTTCGTGGAAATTTGATAAATATCATTTTTCGAGGCTTGAACGACTTTTCATAAAACACAGAAACAACAGTTTGATTTCTTTTTAATGCCGTAGTTTCTCACATCTCCGAGCAGCTTTGGTGTTACTATATTCCGTATATATACTTAAATAGATTGCAGCTGCACTCTAATTAACAATATTTTGATATTTCCCGCCTCTATGGATCATCGTATAAAGACGAACCTGTCGTTCGTGGAATTCGTTTGCTGGAGCCTCGAGCGTCGAGCAAATTGTATGCAAATCGGCTGGCGATATTTTTAGACGGTATTATATGCACTCTTGATCAATTGTCCTGTACCTTTGGAATACAGATACCGCATGTTTTAATACTCGAAAGCCACTTCCAAGAATTTTCTTTACGAGCGTACTTTGTTTCGAGCAACGTCATCTTTTTTCGGAGTAACTTCGATCCTTTTTTTCTTTTTTTTCATTCTTTCGTGGAAAAAATAATATTATCGCGAAACACATATTTTTCCATCCCTTCTCTCTCTCTCTCTCTCTTTCTCTCTGTAGATGATCGGGTCGTCCTGTTGTTTTTTCCTCGCCACGTTTTAAATTTTAAAATAGCACAACACGCAACATCGTCGTGCGAGCCGGTCTGCGCGATCTAATCGGACAAGTTATACACGAGTAAGTGCTTATGCAGCTAACGCTCATATTATGCAAGCATCACTCGATGTAAGTGCACCTTTTAGTGTCACAATCCAACAGTTAACAGGACACCACTACAACCGGCCGCCGGTTGGATCGATCGTGTTTCAACAGAGACACACAGTCCTGGAATATAGCTGATTTCAGAATTCCTTCGACCTACATGAACCCTTCCATCTTCGGCCCTCTCTCTGGGTAGTAAACAAAATTCCAAGCAATTTTTACATCCTCCCGTAAGAACGCGAGCGCGAGCCGAGCCAGGGATATTCCGTTGACTCTGCGCGATTTCGATCGGCCGCCTCTGATACTCGAGAGGGACGAATTGAAAAAAAGAAACGTCGTTCTTTCGAGAACACCGCCAAAATTCGTGCTTCGCAATCAATCAGAAGGATGATTTCAATTCGTTGGAAAGAAAGAAAAAAAAAAAAAAAAAAGAATCTAAAAATTATCAAAATCCAAAAAGCTAACAAAGCCAGGAGGAAGTAATCATGTGCAGAGGGAGAGAGAGAGAGAGAGGAAGAAATTGAAATGAATTTCCTCGTGATTGCGATTACGGTTGCGTTGGTAGGTGTGCTCGGGTGCGGAAACCTGTTACGCGTTCGTGGCACATATAACCGCGTGCATTAACTGTAAAGATGCCCGATGAATATGCCTGCGCGAGACTGCGGGAAATTCAACGTTCCCCCTCGTGCTACTGAAACGCGCGGTGAATTAACGTCACACAAGGGAGCCACGAAACGTTCTCTCCCCCACGGCTCACAATAGGTATCTTGTGGCGCGTTAAAACTACAATGGCCGCGTACACTGGCTAATTGAAACATTTGCCTGGACGATTACTAGACCGACCGGGTAAACACACGCGCGAGCGTGTCATTTTCTCACGCCAAACACCCGATACCACGGGACAAATTGCATAGTTACATGGTATTAGTATCGCGATCGTTCGATCACTCCACGGTACATATAAACGTGCATAATCAACTCCTTTCTTACATTAGTAAGAAACATTACACATGTGTAACTCTTGTCTTACGTTAGTAAGAAATATTACACACTTGTCAACCGTTTCGCTAATAATTGACAGTCTCAGAAGTCGAGCCGGTCAATTCTACGTTTTTTGACAATTTTTTTTCATTTCGGTACGTATGAATGTACGACTCTACAAGCGAAAAAAACAACTTATTTTCGTGGTAATTGGCATCAACGCGAATTAATTTCTATCATTTTCCTCCTGTGAATTGGAACGGATGAAATCAAATAAAGTTCGTGTCATCTGAGTAGAATGACGCAAGATTTTCGCAAAATATATTATTTATAACAGCAGCAGCTGTTTCTCTGCTTTTCGATTTGTGGAATTGATCGGCGTGACTTCTGAATGACTCCACTTTTGTTGGACATATCAAAGTATGCCAATTTATTTCAATTTAATATTCCATTTGACGTATTCGTACTTGAAGGTGTAAACGTAAAGCGAAGTTGAGAGACGCTTGAAAAAAATTTGTTGAACAAGAGGGTTCAGCGAGAGGGTTAAGACGAGAAATGGAACTGGAAATCACAGGCCTTGTTAATGGAATCAGTGTGATATGTATTGGAATCAAATAAAGCGCAAGCCGGTTGAAATATACGATTAACCCCCTGATTAACTCACAGCCTACGCTTCTTATAGATCCCCTATTATTAGCAGAAAGATCTCCGCGATACTTGCAAACGTTCGTAAGCCTCGTGGTTCGAAAAGGGATCCTCGATTAAGTATCCCTTCACAAAGGGAAACTATATAGACTTTATTATTCATCTACCTACGCAAACTGCAAAGAAACTGCTACTAAATATCAAGAATACTTTTGAAGTATTACCGATCTATGGTAAGTACATCAAAGTTCTACAACTATTGTAATGAAAAACATGTTCTATTAAAACAAAAGACGGTCATTTAAAAATTATTCATTATATTAATAATTATTCTTTTCGTAATAGTACTATCTATAAATATAGTTCTATGTTATAAAGGACGGTTTTAATAAATTATTTAATATTCAGAGACAACCTTCGCAACCTTGCGCAGGATTAATCAACCTTTAAGTCAAAAGTAAATACTAAAGTAAAATTTGTAATTAACATTCTCCACAAAAATCTGCATCATGGAGTGAAAAGATTAAAAACTAGAGATCTGTCGGACACTGACTTTAAAAGTTTCAGATTAAAGATTCAAATTAATCCGGAAAGACGGGACCTTAACAAGCAAGAATCCTCGTCGAGGCTCGACGATTTTTCCAACGGGCCAGGTGATTTCCAGTTTACCGTAAGCGTTTCGAGCGAGCGTGGAAAAGAAAAGAAAAACTCACCTAAGGAGCTCTCCGGATCGGACAGGTCGGAGAGAGAGGGTACTTTTCGCATCGAGGTAAATCTGCCAGAGAGGGCAGGCACCAGGCCCTCTTCCTCGGCGTCAGAGGCTAGCTCTTGTTTCATCAACTTCGCCATAACCGTCAACATGCCGCCACCGTCGCTAATGCTGCCGCCTCCCAGATAGCTGCCCACGCTTCTAGCATCGCGCTGAAACAGAAGAAAGCACAGACTTTCTTTTTAATCTGGTCCATTAACAGAAATGGAGCATCGTTGCTCCGTTTCTATTTTATTTTTTTTTTTTTTTGTTAACATTGGTCACAAACAAGATGACTCAGAAATCATTGAAAAAAAACTTTATCTACATTCACAACATGTTATTCTTGATACAACAACGTTACCAATAATCTAACAATTTCAGAGAAAGTATAGGCTATTGTTGGATTTTTTAAATTAAAGTTCACCAATGTCCGACTATGTACCTAACAGTGGATGGGTTACGTTAAAGCAATCAAATGTGTATACAGATTCTTACGAGCGTAAGCATTTCAGCCGTCAAATGTAACATTTGTTAGGACAACGGTTTATCGGAACAAGCCTCCATTGTAACTATATAACCTTACGTGTAACCAGCAGATGAACCTGATTTAAAGATCATTGTCTACTGTATATTCCGTAACCGATGAATCCACGTTGTTCTCAATAACTTCGTACCGCGATATTGTTACAGTATTATACAATACTCTCACTATCTTCATCCTAGTTGCTCATGTACTATAACGTCTGATCTTGGCGCGAGCACGAGAGGATTCTAACAGTATCGAAGAATCAAATCAAAAACGAAGATCGGTGAAACGTCCAAGAATAAAAACAGAGGGAAGAGAAAACGATAAAAATCGATAAGGAACAGTGACCAGAAGAGAGAGAGAGAAAGAAGATCGAAAGATCGTAGAAAGGTAGGATGAAAGAGTCGCGAGGAGACGGCGTCTCGGCGGAGGCATGAATGGACGGTGAACCTGCTGGAGTTGACGTGCCGGAAGGGGAGAAGAGCGGAAAAAGAGCAACGAGAGGGAGGAGAATCGACAGAGAGAGAGAGAGAGAGAGAGAGAGAGAGAGAAACACGACAGGAGGTGGAGGGGGGCGGATAAAAGAGAGCTCGACGCGGGAGAAAGAAATAAAATCGCTGAATAAGAAACGGGCAGCGAAAGAAACGGGACGGGAGGAGGTAGGGCACAAGGCAGAAGAGAAGAGGGAGAAGAGACGAGACGAATGACTGAGTGATCGATGAAGATGGAGAACACAAGGGACAAAGATACGTTGGAAAGAGACCAAAGAGAGAGAGAGAGAGAGAGAAAGAAGAGTAGACGAGCCACAACGGTTTGATCGAGACGAAATTAAACTTTAGGTGGAAGAAAGATGAACATACGTGCGAGGACGAATTTCATAGAATGTGGAGAGTTATTACTCGTTTCGAACGCATTGTGCTGTGTGCGTGTATGTGTCCAAATCGGGAAGGACCATTACGAAAATGTGAAAATCCAACCTGACCGGGGTAGAATGACAGACAAATTAATGAATCGACTATTACAGCGATAGGGGAGAGGAAAGAGGGAGAGAGGACGACAAAAAAGAGAGATGCAACAGAGTCGGCGCGCTTGGCGATAGCTACGACCGCTTGACCTTCGTACGAGGGACTCCAAGTTGAATGAAACGCTGGCACAAGAGAGTGACGCAACGGTACGCAATGCAACGACAGTGCTGCGACGCGATGCAACATTCTAACCTCGCCGTACCTACACGCACGCTCCTCGTCCCCTTTCCCCATTCTGTTCTCTCCTTTTACGTTGCTCTTCTCTCCTCTTTCTCCCTTTGCCTCTCTCACGGTGCACTCTATCCCCAGGTCTTGCTTTGCTCGTTGCACACTCTCTCTCTCTCTCTCTCTCTCTCTCTGCATCTTTCCCTTCTAATTCTTTCCACTTTTCCCCTCCATCACCGGTGTCCGGACCGGAGAGAGCCAGTCCATCAACCACCCTTCCTTCATCACCAGACGATCGTCGGTCACAGACGCAGGACCATGTCAGTAATGGCACTCCAAGTGCATGGTGCACGCATTCAATTTAATAGACTGCAGTGCAGTAAATCTTGAATTCGCCGTGGAAAATTTCGAGAACGAGCTTTGACCGACGACTCCCTTCGTGTGTCGGCGATTCAAGATTGTCAGAATAATCGAAAAGTTGCACAGCCAAGCACCAAGTTTTCTAGAACGAGCAGTATTTACAATTTCAAGATGATAAAGACGCTACGGGTGTGTAACACTCGCGTTTATCTATATACAATTGACACAACTGTACATTCACATCCATCGGACACATATTCAGGTTATTTTTCGTTTTTTGCCTCCCTGTGTATCACGCTGCTATCGTTCGAAGTATTCTATTTCCTATAGATGCCGCTCCAGTAATACGCTGTAATGTGAAGATTCGATGGAAAGTTTAGAAGATCGCGCAGGGACGCATGTGCAAATGTTATGTGCAATAGAGCAAGATTTTCCATGGAAGAAAATGCGAAGGAAGAAAAGCGATTTCGCGAATAACGGGGGGAGGGGAAGGAGGCGCCGATTAAATCATGAATCGAACAACGGCCCCTCTGTCTTCAACGATAATTATTTTCCCCCATGTATATGCTGTATACGAATGCTACACGTGTATGCAGATAGGCGGTCGACTGGTAATTCTTGTCACGCGTTGTGCTTGCCGTCTTTCTCCGTCAGTCCATCTATCTGTTTACCTATCTCTTCCTCTTTCATCATCGGCATCCGAACGATACCGAGCCGTGCTGATTCGTTCCACTACGTTAGAGCTACGTGACCATACGTTCAGGCCAGCAGCTACCGAACTAAACTGTCAGGTACGATCCGTGAGACCCCCACCATCCAGATATTTTAATACGTGTAAGTGAGACAATATGACATGCAACCATCGACAGACGTTCTGATTTATATCTTCGTTGTTTTCCTTTTTCCCAGAATTTCTGCAACCATGAAATTGAAAGTTAACAAAGGCAATGTAAAAAAAAAAAAAAGAAAAAATGAAATAACTAAATATAATCTGATTTATTTTGAGCAGAAGATCGAAAGATCGAAGAGCAATAAATAAAGAAATCATCACCGTCATCATCCAAGGGATTAGTCATACTCCGGTTAACAGATTAAAGTGGAACAGTAATGATTAGAACGCGGATGTTGATGCTTTCGAATGGGACATTACACAATGTGCATAAAACGAAGAAGTATACCAAATAATCAAAGCAGTTACGATTCCGATAAAACGAATCTCTATTTATAACACAAGAAGTTCTTCATTTATACTTCTTCCTCGTGCGTTCCAAGGTTTTTTTCCCCCTCGCAAGTTCAACGAGAAGAAAACACGGGGAAAATCGCCCACATTCACTTACTCGCGATCGATGAGCGTGCATCGCACTCGCGCCTAGATAAATTAATCGTCGTACGAATAGTGAATGATGCAATTCGCAATTATTTCTCAGAATCGGCATCGTAATTATTTCCGAACGAAAATGACACGGTGCATCTTCTACTATTTTATCCTCTTTTATAATTAACAAGTCGAATCACCATTGAAACATTCGAGCGCGAGTCCATTTATTTCCAAGAAGAAAGAACACGAATAATCATCTCCATTTACGATAAGTGTGTATCGCGTCAACCTACAAAAGTTTCATTTCCATGAATTGCCCAAAAACTCCGACAGAGATAACTTTATCGTTTCATTGGAAGTATATATATATATATATATACACGTTGTCGTGCATGTGGTTATCATTTTACAGCAGAATTTATATTTATTTTATAGCACGATTCTCTGAATCCCTGAAGTTATCGTAGAGCACGATCAACATCGTAGGAAATATCACGTACGTCTGGAAAACTTCAAGTTCCCACCTTCGTCTATAATATTTATTTTTAAGATGACATGTCTCTCTGAACCAAACAAGGTTGTTCTCTCTACAACTTCTCTCTATCAACCATTAGAAGCTAAGAAAAAATTTTCCACGCGTTCTTCGTTTGTTATTCGACATTGGTAACTTGTATGTAATTTGTAACTCCTAGAATTAATTCAATTGTGCAAGGGGACGACGATTCGTCGACCGAGGCCAGTTCGATTGTGCAGAGCACGCTCGAGGCTGGTAGGAAAAGAAATACCTCGCGTTAAGCTTCCATCTTCGTGCAAAGAGTCCGTACCTTTGGGCAGAACGACGACCTGGTTCGTATAAGAACTCGGCATTATGCTCCTTCTGAACGGGCTTGGCCGTTCTCTGAATGAGTGAGTAACAGAAGCCACGAAGGGGGATAGAGAGGGAATCGTCGAAGAGAGACACCAGTCAAGAGAGACTGCTTTCTGGCCGGCTGACAGAAGCAACAGCGAAAGCTGAAAGAGAGAGAAAGAGACAGAGAAAGAGAGGGAGGGAAGAAGAGAGAAAGAGAGAGAGAGGAAGAGAAAATGGTCGAATACGCCCTTGAAAGGAAGAAACGAAAAAGAGCTATTAGCTCGTTTCACGTGTACCACGATCGCCGGCTATTTTTACCCCTCCATTTTTGCCTCTACGTTCTTTTTTCCTTTCTTTTCTCTTCGCGCTCCTTCAACGCCCGGTAACATATTATTCTGAAACGTTTTCGACATGGAAATTTAGTCGGAGGTTAAGTTTCTTGAATCTTTGCCATTAGTTTGGGAATTGGGTGACAGCTGAGGCTGCGGCGTTCGTGGAACGAATGTTGCAACAGTATCGAGACTCGATTTCAGAGTAAAGACGAGGTTGGGAACCTCTCTCTCTCTCTCTCTCTCTCTCTCTCTCTCTCTCTCTCTTCTGTCGTTTAATTTGAATCAGAAGTATCAAATAATCAACTCCATTTATCTGAAACAAATGTTTTATACAATTGGAATTCATTCGCCAATTCTTCTTTTTACTCTACATGTAAACTTGAACTGAATAATTTCAATCATACAAAAGAATCCAATCGGCAATTCAGTTGACCTTAGTTGATCAACTAAGATGTTCTAATAAATGGTGACCTGAGGAATAAATGCTGTGACTTGGAGGAATGTTGCACAGATTTTCTTAAATCAATCGAACTTCCAAGGCCAAAGGGGTGAAAGAAAAAAGACACGACGATCCCACGAGAAATATATCGAGTTCACCATCGAGCAATAGGCAAGATTGTTTCGACCAACGTGCGAGCAAAAATAGATGTCGAACCGCGTTCCCAGTAATGGTCCTTTCAGACATGTAAATCTATTCGAGCCACGCAGCAGCCAGCAAGAGCGAGAGAAAACACGCTCTAGAATATTTTTTCAAGATCGAACCGAACCGCTCGGAGACTCGTCTAAAAATCGCTCGCCATTCTGAAACAGTGAAACCGGGTCACGCCTTGTGACTCGATTATCACCATCGTGCGAAATAGAAATTTAGAAACGATATTTCGAACACGGCGATTATTCACGGCAATACGCAATCGTGAAACATTCGCCGGTTTTCTTAACGAAACGATATCGACAACTCTGGAGACGTCGTGTCAAATGAAAAATGAACAAACCAGACGTTCCCTCGTTCATGTTTAACACGGCCATTGCTATTAATCGACAGACTGAGGAAAGTGAGTAATACCGATTAACAGACAAATGCAAGAGACATCTCAGGAATAATTGGACACGGCTGAGATATTGACTCGAGAGAGAAAGAGAGAGCCTTTCCATTTTTTATAAGATGGACCTCGACCTGACCAACGAAAAAGATTCTTTCGCCCGCGAGGTTCCTTCGGTGATCTTCCAATTACGCTCCAAGGCTAGTATACATATATAATACAGCAGTTACGAAATTAAGCGCATTTCAATGGACAGGCATGCCATCAATGAACGTAATATCAATGTTTTCTGAGACCGAATGTCGCCTGATTGTACGCGTGCAGTGTACGATAAGATAAGGCCTGAGCGAGGAAGCGCGTTCGACATTACAATTTTCGATTCACGGGCTCCACTAAGCCGATCAATCGTTCAATTTCCTAATTCGAACGTATAGTTTCATTGATATGACATAGGGATCGCAACAGGAACGCATATGTATATTTGTTAATGGACATGCATTTCGAACCATTGACTGATTAGATTAAGAAAGCGTAAAAAGAAAGAGGAGTGCCTATTCTACGTTGTTGCAGTTTTTAATTATAATCGGGGGAAAAGGATCGATCGAATAGGATTACGACAGGGTCTCGATAAGCGCGAGTAAGTGTCATCAATGAACCGAGAACGAAAGGAGAAAACGTCGATTGGCACGTTGTGTTCGCCATTCATCGTTCCGTTCGCTATTTATACCGCCGTTGCTATTTATCAGCAATGAATGACAGAAGACACAGGCGCGATTAAAAACTTTTCCGCTAGATCGACCTGGTTGCCGCAGCTCGCGACGTAAATACCGGGCATGGATTTTATTACCCCTCGTTAAAAGCTGAAAGGTTAGCCTCGTATATTTAGAAGCACGTGAACCAGTCTCCCTAGGATCGATTGTAAGATCTAACTACCGAGATGAAAACTACTCTTTCACGCTGAGCTCGTCCAGTTTGCGATGTACATGTACAGTTTAATTAGCAAATTAAATGAATTACACAACCTAAAACGAACGAACTCTACTGACAACAACGGTTGTTACAAAATACAGAATGAGACAAGAGGAGCCGTGCAACTTGAAAATATTCAACGTTTGAAATATCCTTCATAGATCTAAATTATAAAAGTATTATAAAGTTTTATAAAGTACAGAAAAGTATTAAAGTATTATAAAGTATTAGTATTAAAAGTATTATAAAGTACAGAAGACTTCGTCGCTTCTGTACTCTACCATTCTACTCTTGTCGGTATTTGAAACTGATATTTTCTTAATACTGGAATTTCGAGTCGGTGTAGCGTGATTTAAAAGAAAGAAGAAAAAAAAAAAAAGTAGGAGGATCGACACGACCCGAATGCAAGCGGAGGATCGTTTTTCGACGAGTTCCGCGGAGGACTTCCGGCAGAGGAACGGCCAAGTGGCCAGTTCCTGCGCTGACAACAGCTGTCCTGCTTTTCTCTTATTAAATATTCATCGACATATGGCCCTGGTGATGAACGAAATTCTGAGTAACTGTGAAATTTGACAGTGCAAAGATTACGTGACGCAACTGGTAAATGTATTTGGCAAAGGAAACAGGATGATTGTAGAGTGTGAGTGTCAAGCGGACGACGTGTTCCAGTGTATTATCAATCGAGAAAGAAACACTCCTTGAACATTCTCTTGAGTATTCTGCAATGAGAAGGAGAGCAAAGAGAAGGAGAGAATATTTTCAACGTATTTCCTCCTGAAAAGTCGAGAAAACGAATAATTAGTTCGATCGATCTATCAAAACAGATATTGTCAGGGGAAAACAGGTGTAATCAGTATGCAGCGGGAAGTTAGGAAAGGAAACGGATGCACCACGCCCAAATCGTTTAATCCTGAATCGATGGCGAGCGAACGACTAATTGTTCTAGACAGGCCCTTATCATCAATCTGATTCAAATTCCCCTATATTGCTTCCTCTCTTTCACTGCCATTCATCGTCCGAATTACCACAGATAAAACCAACACAGAGTACGTGCAACTCCTATTAAGCTTTCAACGCTTCCCTCTAGAAAAAGACTCTACTTTCGCGGGTATTTCTAAAACAGTCTTTCATAGAAGTGCGAACTCGTGAACGAGAAATCTTTGAATGAAATGAATCATTCCAAAAATTCAATTTCAGCATTCGACTGGTAAACATCGTCGAGCTTCTGCGTGTGACACAGGAGGGCCCTTCTAACGCGTGCACGTCCGTTAGATTGTATAACGACGTCAACCCTTGGCTCGTTAATGAAAAGAAGTAAAGACGACAAGAGAGGGAGAGAGAGGGAGGGAGAGAGAGAGAGACAAAGAGACGGGGCAAGAGCAGAGACGAAAAGAGAACGACGATGCACCGGGCGCGAGGGAGCGTGTGACGTAGGTGAGGCAACGGTGCATGCGACTAGAACGAACGACGCATGCAGAAGGTCTGGCTACATGATGCGAGAAGGGATGCTATTTCTGGCGACTTAGATTTCTCCTTTCTCCTCCCCCAAGCACCGGCTGCTGCCGTGCACGCGTTTCTTCCCGCTTGTCCCTACATCCCGTTCCTCTTTAACTAACTCACCGACTTTCCGTCTCTTCCTTTCGCTTTCGAAGGATTACTACCTCCTCCTTCCTGCTGCTACATACTCCTTTTCTTTTTCCTTCTTCTTCCCCTCGAGCTAACCACCAAGCTTACGATTCTTAAGGGAGGATTTCTTTCGACAAGCGTCGCTGCGAAGATGGAACAAATGTTCATTAATTCAGAGAAGAGTAATATACCTGCATCGTGTTATATTTTCAAGAAAGAATTTTCAGGTTGAAATTTTTCGTACAGTCCTGAAAAAGACGAAAGTACCTACATGTCGTTCACCGTGTTTGATTTGTATTAAGAAAATGTGGCGGTTGCTGAAACTTGGAGCAAAAGTGCGTAAACTGGTAGCTAAGTCGACCTGATCCGAGTCGAGGCGATCGGAGCAGATGGGGGCCAGCAGACGTTAAACAAGGCGAAACCAGATGAAGAAACAGCAAGACCGTTTTTTCTTCGAGCACCAGTGAACCCGAGGATAACGAACCAAGAAAAGAGGACGAACTTACAAGCCGGTTCGATTAACTGCCTAACGAAACTTGAAATGCAACGTGAAATCATCTCAACATCTATTACACGATCGCGTACATATGTAGGTACATATTTTGTACAATCCCCATTACATGAACGATCATTTACATAGTCTACCGACCGAACTATCAATTAAACATCACGCTTTACACGAGCGTGCACGCTATTCCAAGATTTCGTGTCTGCCTCGAACAGAGGAGCCCGAAGGAATATAAAACGAAGGAGGAAATAGTAGGAGGAAGAACAAGGAGGGGACGCGCGAGGGAAGGAAAGGAGAGAACGATCGGAGAAGCGAGAAACAAAGAGATCGATGGTCAGGGTGTGCAACCGACTGAAACGGAGAGAAGGAACGGAACAGAGGGAGGGACGCGAAAGCGTGAAACGGAGGAAGAGAGATCAAGAGAGAAGAGGAACGCGTTAGAAGCAATAGACGGTGACCACATGAGGTCAGGGAGGGATGGAAGAGCGAGAGGGGATGAGAAACGAACTGGCTCTACGTTCATTCATGAAACGAAGGCGGAGAGCAGCTCCGGAACGAATTGTTACTGGCACTCGTGCAATCGCAAGCTCTGCCAACGCAGTTGCCAACGTTAACTATTACCGCGAAAATAGAGCAGGATTGGCCTCTTTCGTGCATGGTCCGTCTCGCTCTCCTGTCTCCTTCTCCGTCCTCTATTTAATAGAAATTATGTATCGCGTTTCGTGCCACGCTAACGCCCCTAACGAGTCATCAGGGTTAATTAATAACTTACAAAACAATATAGTATACCGTTGCGCGACGGTGTTGAATTTCTACTGTTCTATGGTAGTGCAAAGTATCAAGAATTTGCAGAGAACGTTGTTCAATAAATATATCTACTTACAATAAGAAAACACTAGAAAATCTCCGAACAACCGTTTAAAATCATCTATCCGTTGCATGAATTCCAAGTAGCTAGCTTCTTTTAACTACGTACAGTTTTTATTCCTTTTTCACGAGACTAGTAACGACTACAACTAGACGGTTGAACATATAACAGAAATATTGGAAACAACTTCCAGGATTCCATCATCTTTTATACTCCTTTCTATTTTTGCGCAAGCTGTCGACTCCTCTCCGTGAGAATAAGACAAAAAGGAAAACGATCGCGAGTTCGAGGTATCGTTACGACAATTACACAATAGAAACGGCTGGCAACGCGAGCGGCGACATCAAAGAGAAGCCCGAAAATAACGCCACGGCGCGATCACGCGGCTGCAGAAACATTTTTCGTAAGATCGACCCTCACGCATTTCGAAATTGCGCGCGTCACATCAGAATTAGAATCCGGTATAATCAAGTGGATCACCTGTGGATCGTGTGCGTTTAAATTTAACGCCGATCGTCTTCCTTCCGTCTTTGCCTCGCTCGAATGAACGGTCAAAGAGTATCACTGACCTTGATGGATCTATGATCGATCGGGTAACCCTTCCTGGTACCAGGACTCTCCTCGTAGAAATCCTGTTCCTCCTCCCCGTAGTCGTACAGGGATTCCATATCCATTTCTGCTGCAAAAAAATCGCACGTCAGCAAGAAATATCAAAATCACTGTGCTTTAACCCCTTGCCTTACAAACACGAATTACAAATTACTCATAATGAAAATTATAATTTTAAACAGCAAATGGCATTATTTCCTCTTCAAAAGGTTTTCAATTTAATTTTCGTTTTCAGTTTTAATTTATATAGTCAAAGACTGAAAACATCGTAAGGCAACGAGTTAAAAACTTTCGCAGTCCGTTCTACAGGTTGCTACACGACACATAGCATACGAATAAAGTTCGTTCCTTCACGAAGGAGTGATCGCTTGGCGTGCAAAGGGCGTTTCCTTCGAATCACCGCGTGTAAATTCGATATTTAGGCGGTGGCTGCACGTGAAAAGCATAAGTCGCGTTTTGGACGCTTAATAGCGGTCGCAGCTCGCCTTAAAAACAGACAGTGCAACGAACGCGCTCGTACGCGCCTCTTGAACGCGGCCTGGAGATGCTAAATCACCATTCCGTTTTATTTGTAACCTGCACAGTAAATTCTCTTCCACATGACGTACCTACTCATCCACCCGATTCTTCCTTTTTTTCTATTTGCCTCGGTTGTTCTAAAACACGAGAAACATCGTGCCTGTTGCTCGTACAAACGACCGAACGAATACCACGATTCTATTTAGCTCTCCAAATTTCGTTATAGAAATTTTGTTTTCGTCGCAGAATTACAGCAGTTATTTTCAATCATTTTCCTTTGTGTTTTTATTTATATCGACGATTACGAAAGAAGAATTGTAACGTCAAGGAAGAGTCAAAAGATGGAGAATAGGGAGGAAAGAGATGGCGAAATAAAGTTTAAAAAGACGCGAGTAAGAAGTGCGATTAAAAAGGTTCACGGGCGTAAAGGGATGCAAAGAACTGCAGGCACTAACGTACGTAGGAGGTTTTCGAACCCTGGTTTCTACAAAGATCAGGTTACTTCGGCTGGAAGCCCAAACGACAGATGGTAGGTGGAAAAGTGCTCGAGCAGCGCCATCGACTCTCACGGCTCTTTGTACACGGCCGAAATACTCTTGCTACACAGTCTATAAACCTTCCTAAAATTCAGCTCCGTTTTAACCCTCTCGTTAATACAAGGCGCCAATAACTTTTTAATAAGATGAAGTGAATACGTCTTTTCGCAAAAAGTATGGAAATATTTTCGAGGAAAGAAGTTATCGACCAACCATGATCGGTCATCTCGTGAAAATTTATCTCGCAGCTGACACAATTTTTATTAATGTTTCAATGAATTATTAGGACGAGTTCATTGAATGAAATGTTCTATTTAGAAAATTCTTATGATAATATTTACGATAATATTGCAAAGACAGCCTAAAATAATCTCTAAAATATTCCCGGTCAACAAAATCTTTTCTTCAATGTTGCTGTTTTTGACTATGACATTTCTAACACGTATAATGTTTAGTCAGTAATCTAAACTGAAAGGTATTCTTATCTCGAAAACATGTCTATCAATCTAACTCGACACAAGATATAATTTCTCGAATTTGTTTATCTAACGAGGGAAGAGTGAAGAACATTGTTCAAGTCCAAAGATTTAGCAAATTAATTGTGAAATTGTATCCTGATAAAAAGTGTAAACGTATTTCTAAATAAACTGATATCAAAGTATCATCTATCATTACCAATTGACCAATTGTTGTTTTTCTTTGTTGATAAGCATATGTCGAGAGAAGTTTGACATTGATTAATGATCATTAACTTCTAGACTGAAATATATATCTTCTAGAATTTGATGATATTTCAACAGAAATTCTCAGAAGTGCTAATTACATTACAACACCTAGTTATCTCTCAATCTTTCAACAAGAGATAAGACCTTTGCTTGATGACTAACATTATTAAAAACAACAGAAGAAATAATTAAATATATTTATAAGATAATGCAAATCTCATTGCCAAAGTAACCAATAAAATGAAAAGTCCAAACGTTACAGCATTACTGAAATTCTCAACATTTCTTTCTATTATTACACATATACCTGAAGATGATCAGTGGGTCTTTGAAAGAGAATGAGATCAGTTTCGTCTTTTAGAGTGTCCGACCGACTTCCGCGCAAACACAGGGATGCCGTTTCCACTCGGATGCGTCCACCTGCGTTTCCGAAAGCGAAAGAAAAGATCACTTGATACGGAGGGGTAAAGAAGTAACACCGTTGGTTAACTCCGCGAATTCCTCACCGAAACATGTCCGCCATTAGACGAGGTATAAGCTGTACCTCGGTATATGTACCATTTCGAATTTTCTACTCACTAACTGGAACAAAGAAAGAAGGAATGAGGAATGGCTCACGTGTAATGTCTTACGTATGTATGTAGCAGTTACTCGAAGTTACTGAGTTAGAACCACCTATCTCAGAATTACCATTTTTCTACCCACGAAATAGAATCAAGGTGGAAGAGAAAGAAGACAAATGGCTACATCTACTAATATATTTTTAAACATATCGTTCTTCGTTTGAAATATTATTTGAGCTGTTTGTAATTCATAATTGTAAATTATGCTTTGCATAAGATTATAATTGTTATATACCTCTATTCCAGGTACATGTTTCATCCTTCCAAAATCCATCGATCAAAAGATAATTTTATTACATTTTGCAAAACTGTTGGTGATGTTGTCCTTGATGATGAATGTTCAGTTTTTTGAAAATTAGCTAATAGTGATACAAAAATGTAATTAATACAATTGATTTAAACCCCAAATAAAAAGAAAATAATATAAAAGTTTCGAAAAAACGTCATAAATATTTAAACGAAAAATTTAAATCTTAATGAAAAGAAATTCCGTTCAAAAGGCTCGTTTTAAACGTTAACAAAATGGCGGAAGAACGAGTGTAAAATTCTTACATGCATCCAAGAATGAATGTGCTCTGGTTTCAAGACTACCATGATTTTCGTTTCGTTTTTCTGAGACACTATGTACGAGCTGGCCTATCCTTCCAGAAATTGAAGTGTCTATTGTTTCAACTCTGGCGAGAGAGCAATATAATATCTTTCGAGGAGCTGCTGTTGGGTTTCCAGATGCGGGCAGACGTTCGTTCTTTCAGGTCACGAGACGTATGAACCCCCATGCAAGCTTCAGCGTTCACGATGGACCCATATGAGAAGAAATCTCATTACGAGCTTGACTTTCGAACCTATTAAAACCGCCACGATATCTTTTTTCCACCCACAATTCCCGAATTCGTTTCACTAACCGAACCGACGCCACGAATTACCGATGTACTACTGCCAGTTTAAAATTTTAACGTAAAACGGACGCTTCGTTCGAGAATCGAAAGTGCGTAACTATCGAACGATTGTCACTCGCGTCGTTGTAAACGTCATACAATTGACGAGCCATAGGTCACGTGACTATTTAGAGAAAATATAATCCGTTAATTTCGAGATGACAAAATGAAAAGCTATCTATTCGAACCAATGTTTTAAAACTAAAAGTTAAAATCTAGATTCTTTGCCAATTAAATAAAAGAACCAAATTCAACAGCCCGATTAAAATATTTTTTATAATTTGATTGGACAAAGTACGTATGATAAATATACTGACCTAGTCAAAAAAGCAACAGTTCATCTCAAACTGGAAATTCTCCTTTTTCTAACTTTTTCTTTTTATAGAAAGTCTATTGGCAAAACTGGAATCTGTCTTGCCTCTAAACTGATCAACGGTTTTCTTTCCGCCTCTCTAGCGAGCGTATCTCTTTATCTCCTTTTTTCCTTAGCTTCCTTTTTCCTTCTCCCTTTCTGTTCCTCGTGCAATGTCAGAACGTTCGCGGAGCTTTGTCATCATGGTGTCTTCTCCGGCCTTTGATATTTGTCGCGTCTTTGGTAGAAAGAAGAAACAGCAGAGAGACAAACGAGAGAAGAAGCATGGTAGGTCGCAGTGTTGCCATGCTGTTACTCCCCGAGATCCGAGAAAGTGTACAAAAACCATTCGACCCACCAACACGAGGGCATCACGTTCCTTTTTTAAATTGCCAGGCTAGCCATCCCCCCGTATGCGTTTAACTTACACTGTCCAACACACTTATTTTTCTCTTTTTCTCTTCCCTTTACGCTTCCTATCTCTTCACTCCTTCTCCTCCCCCACCCTTTAGGTCTTTTTCGCTCATCTCTGTATGTATACCAAATACTGTTCAACTACACGCTATTACCGGCGAAATACATTACGCAGACACCCATAGGAAAAACTGCTTGTTAAAATCTAAAATCTAAAACACCGAGTTAAATATTCCACGAAAATCAACAAATATCCCCACACCATCGAGATCAACGTTTTTGGTACAAATCGATGAATTTTTACTTCGATTAAGTTGGCAATGATGATCTATTAAACAGTTATATACGAGACTAATTTTAAGATATAAAAATCAATGAAACTTGTTTTTGTATAAAATTTATCTCGTTTTACGGTTTTCTACTATACAAATGTGAAATTGTAAAATGTTAAAATGAAATTACATTGTCAAAGTTTTACGAGACACGTTGATTTGTTAATCGATTCTGTATTATTTCGATATATTTCACGGCGTGCATCGATTAATTTCTAACTATGCAAGAAATGAAGTGCCGAGCACTTCACTCAAAAGAGACTATCGTTAAAAATATTCTATTCTACGAAGAGTAAGGACATGGGTAGAAATAATAAAAAAAGAAACTGCACGTAATGCATGATGTGATACGATTATCAGGTATGAGATACTTACGATCGATATGAATCAGTGCAGAAAGCTTAATCTTCGAAGTGTTCTTGTGAAGTGTCGAATTTCACCGCGAAACAAACCTTGTTGAAACACGCCAATACATGTGAGTTTCGATCGAGTACAATACAATCGTTATCTCTATTTTGTAATATTAACCAATCTTTCTTTTTAGCAAATATATTTCAAGTGAGGCAAAGATACGAATAATGAACGATACGACGCAGGCAATCGAATATCTTCTAAATCATACGGAACGCAAGATAATACGTATGTACAATTGTTTGTCAGGGGTTGTTGTTATGCCAGGAGTCACGCCAAATAAAAGGAAAGAATGTAAACGCAAAGTCACGGAAAACAAAACTTCTATTCACTTGCGAACACACACTCTTGGCCGATGTAAATAAACGAGAAAAAAAGCTGTGACACGCTTGAACATGTATCGTGGAGTATAATATACGTTTCTCGATCTTCCGTGGGATGCAAAGCAACTAAGAGAACACTTCGTCAAAACAAATATAGGCCTGACCGAACGTAGGCGTATTACTTTTTCTCACAACGCTACGTTCTATCCTGTCGTAATATTTCAGAATTTCTTCATCTCAGTTTTGCAGCGTCGTTTTCATGTTAATAAAGCTTGAAAACTGGCCTGACGTGCGAAAACCGACACGACTCGAGGGAAATTTCGAAGATTTACATTCGCGCGCTCGTATCACGCAATAAATCGCGCAGGTGGATTGAGATTTTAACATGCTCACTTACCTGTTCTCCAACGTAAAATCCAGTGAAAAGCGCAACTGTGTCAATTGTCTGGATATTGTACACGAAAAACACCAAAAGAGGATTGAACACAAAACAAAAATCACGTGTACAACTGTGAGGCGCACGCACATCGGCAGCACTAACGCGGTATACCCGTACACAATACAGATTACGAATGTATTATGGCTATGACTACGACCCAGACGTTCATGAATGAAACTAAGAGCGGGCTTCACCTCCCCATCCCGCGGCGCAATGTCATCGACCAATCACTGATAAGCGTACGCATTCTCTTCTGTGATTCGTTGCCGTGTTCTGCGTATTTCCGTTGGAACGACTCTACAGTCAGGATATTACGAATAAGTAGATGGTATGCATCAATTTGAATTTTTAGCTATTATATTAATGTAAAATATTTGAATTTTTTAGAATTTACGCTTAATGTACAAACATAATCCACAGGAGATATTGAATAGGAGAAAATCCTTGAATTTTCATAGTGTTGTCATTATAAATATATATATTTATATATTAATTAAAAACAAGGATAAAAAAAATAGATAAATATATTTAATCGTTCTTTTTGGTAGATTCATTTTTAAAAGTTTTTAAATTATTATAGTTATTATTTTTAATCTATTATACTGTGTAAATTTAATTATTTACGTAATTTATGTAAGTACGAATGAGATTTTTGTTGATGTAGCTTATTACAAGTAAGAGTACACTCTATCTATTGGCATATACTCTAAGGTAGCAGTTATCGACAAGTGTTTTGCAGGATTTGCCAAATAAAAAGGTAAAGTTGTATTATTTTAAATCATATTACAATTTTTGATAGTATTATTCATCTATTTTGTATTTTAACATGTTTATGTAATTTTTTTTTTTTTTTTTTTTACTATGTCTTATGTAATAATATACATAACCTATGTTATATAAGAGAAAATTTGTATCTTTTCATTTATTTAAAAATTTTAATCTATATCGTATAAATAATTATATAAAAAAATCTTTGATATTAATTTCGTTCTCTGTCACTTATCATTTAATTTTTCCTCTCGTTTAAATATTCTATATTTAAATAAATATTTTATATTTGATTATATATTTGACTTGTTCAGGAAAAATGCTTACTCAAAGGCTAACTATAAATGTACCAAAAGTTATCAAACGTAACATTGGTATTCTTGCACCAGCACTTCAAAAAGCAACAGATCCCATACAACAACTTTTCATAGATAAAATCCGTGAATATACAGCAAAAAGCAGGTGAGTAAAAATAAAATTTATCTATATTTTAACATCAATTCATATTCTAATATCAATTTATAAATTTAGTGGTGGAAAATTAGTTGATGCTACTCCTGAAATTGAAAAAGAAAGGCAGTCAGAGCTTGACAGAATTCGGAAACAATATAATATACAAGGTGATCCAAAAGAATTCCCAAAACTTAAATTTGCAGGTAAGCTCATTTTTTAAATTTCTAACAGAAGCACATACAGTAATTTATACAAGTAAGGATTTTTATTAATTTTTATATTTATTTTAAAACATAAAGAATCTTTTATTTCAGCTGTGGTAGTCGAAAAATAAATGCAGTATGTAACTCCTTATATATAAAACTAGAATATTTATATTAAAATTGTTACACTTGATAAATAATTGTAAAAATATATGTATATGTAAAATTACAAATATGAACATATTAAATTGTATTTTCCTTAGTACTAAACTATTAAATTACAAGTAATTACAATAGAAATCTATAAATTTCATTTCCAATTTATGGCTTCTAAATATATTTATAAAATTACTTTGAGTCTACAATAAGTTTTGTATTTCGAATTATTTCCAATAACGTTTTCATATTAGATTTTATGGCTACAGATTTACAGATTTTCATAAATTTTTCTATTTCACTTTTACAAATCAAAGTTTTAAAGTTACCAGAACAAGAGCAAAGTTCATTTATATTTTCCCTCTTAATTTCTTTACATTTACGACATTGTAAATCTTGCAATATGTAAGCCATACTTTTACGATCTACTATGTCCATCAAAAGGAATTCGATTTCTTCATTGTCATAGTCCATTTTACAAAGAGGACATTTCCATATATATCTGCAAAAACAGTCATGTTATATACTAACAATAAGATATATGTATATATAGCTTTTATAATACTACATTACCTATCCTGTTCCATGACACAAAAATTATCTTTGCAAAGATCAATATCCCTTGTGTGGTTACAGACTTTACAAATAATTTCAGGTAAAATCAAAGAAATACATGGATCTTTCCATTCAACTAAATCACTGAAACTACCAACTCTAATTAGTTTTAACATATTTGTTTGTAAATTATATACTTCGTTTTCAACTTCTACGTCCAGAGATAAAATCTGAAATTAAAATTAATCTTCAGTCCTTTTTTTTTTGTAATATAATCGTAACATATTCATACCCATACCTTACAAACTGATTTAATTAACTCCAATGCTGGATTAATTCTCTTGCTGTCTTTATCATCTAAATCTAAATTTGGATATTCTTCAATTGTTAATATTTTTTCTGGAAGTTTTTTATGTATTTTTTGTACAATCCTATAATATAATTAAATAAAATGTGACAATCAATTTCTTGACATAATAATGAAACGAAAGAAGAATTATACTTACTGAAATAGTTTTTGAGACATATCTCCTTTTATAAGTTTTTTAGCAAAATCTGCAGTATTCTCAAGTGATCCTAATCCAAGTTGACCTGATAATTGACTTAAATTGCTTGATCTTTTCTTGGGTCTTACAGTCGTATTTAATTCATGTTCTAACATAAATTGATAAATCGCATGGATATATCCTGCTATTATAGCAGTAAAACTTGATCGACATGCAGCTTCTTTGGGAAGACACTCCATTAAATTCCAGTTCATTATTATTTCAGGCTTAATAACAAACCAAATCCAATAAAAATATCGTAAACAAAAAACAACAAAAAATTTCATATATAAGTACTTACTTCATCGTCATCCTGCTCTTCAGCATTTCCATCATTTGTACTTTCAGTATTCTCTTGCATATCTTTTGGTAATTCTCCTTTCACACCACCAAAATTATGCTATTGATTTATATAAATGTTTTTAAAGTATTATTATTAAGATAATTTAAATTATATTATTTATTATAATAACGTAAAAATTGAAATTTTACTTACAACATCAAGCCATATTAAATACTCCCAACATTGTTCAAAAGTTATTTCAATACTGTGGAAAATTTCTTTATTACGTATTGTTTGAACGACGAATTCCATATAGCCTAATGCATCACTCACTGTTCTTTTCTTAGTACAAACAATGATTTTATTAAAATTCGCAAAAATAATTATGGATCCCAAAGTTTTAAACTCTGCCAATAATTGTGCGAATAATTTTTTCATATAAGTATGCAATGTTCTTCTTAATGCAGGATCATAAAGTAAAGAATTAGGTGAACGCAACCATCTGAAAAATATAAATATTCAAATTAAAAAGAATAGGTGTAAAAAGTTAGATAAATGTCTGTGCATACCTGTAAAAATGAATGATTTGATAATCTGCGAATACATTTTTATAAACTGATACATCTAACAGCCATGCATTTACCATACTTCGCAATGATCTAAAAGCGAGATTGCAAAGAATAGTTTCGTCATAATTAGGAATTGTACTAGTCATACCATCTCCTGTTGCCATATCCTAAAAAAAATTTAAGTTTTATATAAATATACACAGCTTTTAATGTGCATTTTTCTTTAAATTACGCACTTGAATAGATGTTTGTTGTTGAATGTGAAAGGCAACAAAATTACTTGTTCCATCAATATCATGGATATGATGATGCTGTAATAAAGTATTTACTGCTAAATTTTCTACCTCTAATTCAATGCAAACACTAGAATAAGTCCCAGCATTATTAGCAGCACAATGTGTACTTTCTTCAAAATCTGTCAATAATCTGTAATTAATTCCGTATATTAAGACAATGACAGTAATTTAAATTTGATGCTTGAATGTAAATGTAACCTGTTATCATCATTCTCACTACCGCCTAAATCTGGCTTCTCTGTTGGGGAACACCATAATACAAAGTTATTCTTCTGTAAATGCCTTGCAAAAAATAAGTCTGCGCCAAAAATAATAGGATCTGCAGGAATATTTCCGATTGGTGCGTAAAAGAATCTACATTGTTCTGACATTAATTCAAAAATTTGTTGGCTCTTAAAGTAATGACGTAACATCATTTTTGCTCCAACTTTCTGCCATTCCAATGTATTATATAAATTTTCGATATCTTGTACATAAGTGTTAATTAAAGGAAAGTCATTGAGTAATGGCATCTGAGTTACTAATGTCGTTTTATCTAAAATAAAAACATAAAAAAAGATAATATAAAAAGTTATCAACAAAAATTTAACAATGAGAAATTTCAAATTGAAGATTACCTAAAGCTGTTTGAATAATAAATACTGTTGTTCCATGTCCTTCATTTTTATATGTAGTTATAGCTGCTTGTAAGATACGACAAACTTGTTGAAAATTTGTTTCAAATCTTACAATGAATTGCATCGATGTAGGTAAAAATTTTATTTTATCTTCTCCATTCACAGATATTCTGTAACAGAATTATTTTATAATTATTTTGATAATCTACTAACTTAATTCTTTTGATTTTATAAATCTTACGCTGTATCCCGTTCTTGAGTGTACAATGTATTCATGTTAGGCATTTGATTTGACGACACAGAATCCAAAACGAATATATGTGCTCTTTTACTTGCATTCAAAAATAGGCCCCATAAAGCTCTTTGATGACTTGAACTCCAATGATGGTACAGGAAAATATAATTAATTTCATGAAGCTAAAATGAAACAGATTTTTTTTAGATCAAAGAAAAAATATAAATTAAAATATCATTACATTTTCAAGATATGGTTGCGTAGCAATACTCTTGAATTCTAATTGATCTAAGGTAAATGTGTCTGCACCATCTGCCATATTACGTGCTGCTTTGGGATCAACTGTACAAACGCAGCCTAACTGAAGAATAGCTCTAAACTCTAGTGACATTTGAGTTTCATAAATTCCTTCAATTTCTGGTTTACTCATATCTTCTAAAAGCTCTCTATAAACAAATTAAGATAATTTAGATAATTAAATATGAAATATCATTATAGAGAAACAATTTAAAGAATGAAACTTACTGACTGTATAGCTGAAATTGTATTTCCGGTACAGTATATTGATATAAATTATATATAGGCCGAGATCGCGGAAGAACTTTCATGCTTTTCTTCCAGGATACTTTTTTACCTGGTTCTGGATCAGGTTTAGGCTTACGAGTATTCACATAAAATATACGAGGTACCACAAGACGCAACTGATGAAGATCTTTATCGACTAATACCCACAATCGATATAGACCAGGCTTGTTTGTCGGTGATATCTAAGTTGATCAATTAATTATTTAAATTATTGAATATAACTATTGAATTTAAATACCGTTATTAGAAAGAACATTATTCCTACTTGAATAATCTGCCATGGAGTTACAAGTAATTTTTTTTGAGTTCGTCTCAAAAAGCCACCCAATGTGGATGTATTGGTATTTCTTGTAATACCCCAATTAACTTGATCTCCATCATTATTAGAATGTTTCCTCTTTTTACTCTTTTGATATTCAGCCCTTTGCTTAGCTTGGAAAGCCCATTTTTGTTTGTGAAATTCCAACCATTTTAATCTTTCCTCCTTTGTTGTTCCCATTGGTGGTGGTGAACCTAAAACATCTTTCCAACTTTTATTTGCATTTTCTACTTCATTTCCTTCTAAAGATTGTCGTTTCCTTTTATTGACAATTGGTAACGATTGCTTAGATGTTGAAGCTTTCCCTGCCATATCTTCAATATCACACGATTCTATATCTTGGGCACTATTATCTTCGTTTCTGTCTTTAGGTAGTACAGTAAATAAATCAGTAATCTTTTTTTGCTTATGCGTTGCACTTTTTTCCATTACTCTTTTATGCAACCAATCCGGATGTTTTACTCTAGGAACTGGATTAGGCAACTAGAAAAGAAATATATTGTTTTATTGAATATTTAAATATTAAGAAATTTTGCATATCTAATACGATAAATACCCCTTGCATTGCTGCCGGAATTGTAATAATTTTTTGAATAGCATTCCCAAGTCTTTCAATATAATAATTCCAATCTAAAATATGTCGTATGTCGTCATTTTGTAAACTAGGATCCTTTAACCATTTTCGTAAATAATGCTTTCTAATTGCTGGTTCCGATTGAAATATAGCTAATGGTATTGCTCTAATAATGTAATATATTTAATTATGTAATATAGTATATGACATAATTATGATATATAATTTTAATATTATATAATCTTTATGCAAAAAGATTTCACTTTTACCGTTCTGTAACTGGTGCACCTTGAGGTTTATTAGCAATAATGTATTTGCATGCTAAACCGGCATCTTTAACCATTTGATCACCTAAAAATTCAGCTAATCTTTTAGCAGTAGAAATGGATGTAGATTTTTGGCCTTCATATTCCTCCAATTTACGTGACATTGATTTGTTTTCGGATATAAGTTCAAACAACTCCGAGTCTGGCATATCTGCACACTATAAAGATTTTTAATTGTTTATTTATTTATTAATATGCCCAATGTAATAAAATCAACATATTTACCTTGCTATAAAGAATATCAAGCCAATAGTCTGCATCTTTAGCTACTGACGCATAGCACTCTTCTAATGTGCTACCTTTTAAAAAAGACTCGAATACAGATGTCTGGAAAACTTTTATTAACTGGAGTTCACCTCTTCGTTTTACTTCAAAACCTTTTAATTCAGCCAAAGAACCGTCGAAATTAAAAACTGCATATCGTTTCTTTAATTTTTTTCCTTCTTCTTTCGCTGCAGGCAATACCATAGCTAAATAGGGGCCATCCACTTCAAAAAATATAGAATTTTCACTCTTAACTTTGTATGTTAAATTCTCAGGATCAACAAGTTCGTGGTATACGTCATTAGTAAATTGATCCTGCAAATAATATGAAAATAGTGCACGAAAAAAACTATAGTAAATCAAAAATATTTTACTACAATTATAATTTACCTTCACCATAAAATTAAGAACAGCATTTGGATATGACACTACTAATTTTTTTTTCTTTGGGTGGGTGGTATAAACGACTACATTATCAGGAAAAGATGCTGGTAAAACACACCAGATTCCGTCTGTATCTAACTCTAAAGGACGACCAACTTTCTCTATAATTTCTCTAGCTCTCATAATAATATGTGCCCCTGTATAACACACTATGCCACCCATCTCCATACTAAACCATCGAGATCTAATATATTGAAACATCATGTTAATAATTTTAAATGCAAAAAGAATAGAAAAAATACATGTACATACCCCTTTCTCATGACATATCCATAGAAGGAATTTAAAATACATTTGTGAGCAAGTTGTAACGAATCATATAGTACTTCTCGACTTTTAGCAGACTTGATATCAGCAGCATCTCCTTTTGCTATGGCTACCGCTACTTCTTGTTTCGCAATTTTAGTAAGAGCTTTGTATTCATATCTTCTATCTCTAAATGCTCGTACAGTATCAACATAAAATGAATTTTCTTTTTGGCATACCGTTTGCGTTCTTTCTTCCATGCTAGTGACTTTAACTTTCTTGTAAGCTTTCTTGCAATATTCTGTGAGTCGCTTCTTCTCATACGATGCTTGTTCCTCTTTAGATAATTCATGATATGCTCTGCGAGGACCGCCCGGGAATTGCGGAGGAAATTTTTCATTTTCAAGCTGTTGCTGCATTCGTTGATATTCACTTAAAGTTGCAGTAACTGAAATTAAGCAAAAACACGTTTCTATATAAAGCTGAATTCTAACAAATTTTATTTATACATGTCTTACAATATTCTCCTCTCCACATCCACTGCATGTTTCTCTGACAAAGTGCTCCTGGTTTATTGTAATCGCATGCAGCGCATATAGTTTCATTGACCATCGCAGATGGTTGTAGACGATTGGTTAAAATAATATTTGGATACATAGCACCGACATCTAAGTGATAAATTACTGGGTTTTCTAATCTCAGTGGTTGATCTCTTAGAGCTTTCAACTTCACTGTAATTTCTTCAACTATCTCCTCAAAATTTGTAACCATATCCATGGATACTTTTTCCTCCTCCTGTATAGCATGCTTTAATGCAGATTCAACACCACTTATTAATTCATCTACTGTGCTCGGTACTATTTTGAAACGACAAGGAATATCAGCTCTGAAAACACCTGATTCTAAGGCTTCAACGTGTCCTCCAACATATGTTTCTTGATCCAATAAGTGACCATGTTTTGTTAACTTGTTTAATTCTTGCTCTTGTTTGTTAGGAAATATAATATTAGCTTGGTAAGCTTGCACCATTAAAAGAGATTCACATAATGTTCCAGATCCCTTTCTAAGTACCTGTAAATAAAGAATATAATTCATATTGTCTTTACTTAATTTTATTTTAACTTATTTTAACTTACTTCATCTGGTTCCATAGGGATAATGGTACACAGAGCAAATATGAAAGGATGGACGTATTTGTAATAAAGATAATATGTAGCAACTGCATCTGAAACTGAATAGTTTGCAAGAGTTTCTGGCTCCTCAGATGCCAATCTGCACATATCTTCAGGATCCAATTCCACTGGATTATATCTCAGCTTTGCTTTTGCTACAGCTTTTAGATTCTGAGAACCCACAGGAAGATAAGAGTCGCGTCTTACCCAACTACAATATTAAATTATATATTAGAAGTAATTCTCTATCAATCGTTTTTTTTTTTTATTTTTCTGTTCGATAATTTAAATGAATTTAATTTTATAAATTGCAATACCTCAAACAGTCCATATGCATGGCTGGTCTACAACTATAAACTCCATCACGATTTTTGGAAAAACCAATCCTGTTTTTCATATCCATGTTATGAAAAGCTGCTCTGGTTTCTACAAATGGCCAATCGAAAAAATCACCGTTGTATGTTACGAATATATGCGGTCGAATATCGTTTATGTGATCGAAAAATTTTTTTATCGTTGCTTTTTCATTAGGTTCATTAAAAACTGTAAAAAATCCCTCAAACTCCGGTTTTGGAGTGTACTCGAAATCTTCTATATCACACGAAATTATTTCCCTATTTGTTATCAAATATCCCTGAAAATATAAATATATCTAATATATCTATAAAATATATCTAGCTAATATATCTAAAATATATCATTATATATAGCATTATTAAGTATTAAAGTTAAAGGATATTTTGCATACTTGTCCATCAATCATATATGAGATCATCATAATTTGATCAGTATCAGCATCTGGAAATTTTAAAGGAAGTTTTGTCGTTTCAATATCATATGCTAACACAATTGGATCAGGTGGCTCAATAAGATCATCTCTCTTTGTAATAACTGGTACATCATTTCCTCTTGTTTTCACAGAATACCAATTACCACAACAAATTTTCATGTCTATAGAGACACGTACATGATGTGGTACATCATATTCTCTATATAAATATATGCATATTATTAACAAAAAGATTGTACTCAACATATAAATAAAAATATACTAGATTTTTTACTTGATGTCAAGAATATTATCCAGAAAATCTATAGTTTGCTTTTTAATGTCTCCTGCATCTTGATCAGTATGTAGTACATTTGACAACATGTCTGAATAATAAGTATTAGTTTTTTCACGTTCTTTATTTATCCTTACTGCCTTCATAATGTCACGTCTGACTTTATTCAAATCCACAGTATTAATAAAAGTAATTTTTAAGTATTTCCGTTTTAAACCAATTAGATGATTTGGCTAGAAAGAGACAATGGAGAATTATTAAGTCTAATATCTTTTATGTCTTCTTTCAATTCTATCATACCAAATCAAGATCTTCTTTGTGTACAGTCTCTATTTTAAGTATGAAATCAGGATATTTTTTATTTAAACCAGTGGTAACTTCTTCATATGTATCCTTTTTGCACAAAATATACAAATATGGGTTATAAGGATACGAGATTTTAAATCTACTACAATCTTCTTCTAAAAAATAATAGTCTACACCACTTTGTAATCTCTTATCATCTTCCATAATTTCTGTCTATAAAAAAGATAACAATTTAAAGAATAATTACAAAGCAATTGATCATATTTTTTTATACTTTCTATACTTACTGCATGCATATTTATAAGAAATCCTGTTCTTTCCTTTGTATCAGTTACATTGTAAAATCCATATAAACCATCTATTCTTATATTTTCATTGACTTCGTTTAACCTGTTACCTCCTGAAGTTTCACTAAAACATATAAAAGAATGGATAAGTTTCAGAAAAAACATGATAGTTTGTAATATATTTTAAATTATAATTAAATTACCCTGACGCATTTCTTTCTTGATTTTGATCATTCCTTGTATTTCCCTTAAACGGTCGAAATTTTCCTGTATTTTGTAAACTTGTCATTTTGTATGATAATTAATTATGTAAACTATAAATAGCTAATTAATTCTAAATAACATGTTTCCTATTTAAATAAGAAAAATAATAATTATTTAACAAGGCAGTATGATACTTAGAGAACGTGTGTAAAGGTTGTAATTTGCCCGCCAACAAATGTTATATATAGGTATAATACATGTGTGTGTAATAAGAGAATAGGGGAATACTTATAATAAAAATACGTAAAATGTAAATTAAATTTTTGTTCTGACATAGAATATATTTTTACATTTCTTTTAATTAATAAAATCATACTTTCGATTAGTATATATATATGTTTATTATATTAGTAAAAAATATGTTTCAAAAGTTAATGTTCTTGTTTCTCTTATTTCTTCCTTTGACCTAAAAATTTGCAATAAACTTTAAAATATCGCGAAAATTAGACGATTAACAATTAAATTTATCTAATTGCGCAATATATTAAATTGGTATTATGAGAAATTTACTAGGGGTACGATCTACAAGCGAAAGGAAAAATCCCGAGACTTATCGATTTGGAAAAAGGAACGAAATTGTAGGTGGCTCCACGACAGTAATGCGGTTCGACAACAATTGTCGTAGTTCGTTAAATAAATTGGCTTCACAATTTCAGTAAAGGTGAAAAGAAGTAAATAAATGAGAAAATTAGACGTGCAAGAGGCCTGGGGTGCCGAGAGGTTAGAAGCGCAATTAGAAGCCGCTCGAGATGGTCTTCGAGGACTCGATCGAAGTATTCGAAAAATTTTGGGCCGAGATCTCCCTGATGGAGAGAACGGTCCGCTACAACCACCACCCAGGTTAAATTCTGAATAATTTGCTTTCAAATGCTCTTAAAACGTCGTGGGAGAATGTTATCGTGAAACATAAATTTTGTCTGATAGTTCATTGATCTTTGAGTGAAACATTATTGCCTACAAACATAACCTATTTCTTGTGAAGCTCGTATCACTTTATTAAATTATACGTGATCCCATTGCATTTATTTATAATATCGTAATAATGTAATGACAGTGTGCAAACATGTTAAGTAAACTTAATTGTAATAAATATTCACAAATAGCTTCAATATATCGATGTAATTTTATTAAAAGAAGAAGAGAGGATTATATCTTGTACCCTTGTGCATTTACAATTTCAATAGATTATCACAAAAGAGACCATTGCAAGAGGATAGAAGACGTGTTGTTTCTGATTTTGTCAACAACGAGCTACCTGGTGGGAAAAGGAGATGGCAAGGTTCAAATGGTGAACCAAAAACAGTTTTCAGTCGATTAAGTGCACGTGTACCTTCTAACAATGATGACAGTGCTGATGAAGATGACAATGTTATTAAGGTAGAATTGTATAACAATTAATATACTCATGCTCATTAATAAATTCTAAATATTATTATTACATATTTATTTTAGCCTGCAGTGTCTTCTAGAGTGATAGCAACACCAAGAGAAATTCCATCTAGACAGGAAGTTATTAGACGTGAAAGAATAGACGAACGTAGCAGGCAAAGGAATAAACGAATGTTTGGAGCTCTTTTAGGAACATTACAAAAATTTCGCCAGGAAGAAACTAAATTAAAAGCAAAAGTATATTTTTAATTATTATGAGAAATGTTTTGTTTCGTATTTTTAAAAATAATGACTGTTTGCAGGAAGATAAAAAGGCAGAAGTAGAAGCAAGAGTAGAGGAAGCTAGAAGGAGAGAAAAAGAAGAATTACGACGAGAAAGACAACAGTTGTTTTTGTCACGTAAACGGCAACTAGCTGAAGTCCGAGCGTTGGAAGCAAAGTTGGCACGCAGCCGACAATTTCAGGATTGGCGCGCTGCACAATTACCACTTGCTTCGTTTATAAAAACACGTGCCCAGCCTCCTATTTATTATGTACCAAAGCGTAAACATCCACAAACTGATGTATTATTAGCACAATCTGCAAAAGAATTACATGGTATGCACTTTGATAAGGAATTTTGCATTAAGTCTTAAATAAAAAGAATCACAATATGCATTTGTTTTATTTTACAGAGGAAATTGAAAGAAGAGAGAAGGCACTGATTGAAGAGCTCGAACTTATAGAAGTACAAGTAGGTCTTGGAAAGCATCAACAGAATTTCGATGGATCGACAACATTAAATACAACAGCGGAAGTTCCGCAGTCGACGGAAGAAGGAGAAGAAAATCGTGATCCAAATCCAGAGAAAAACTTAGAATCAGAGAATAACGAACCGGCTGATGTTTCCATAAAATCTGACAAGGATGAAAATTACGAAAACATAAATGATATCGAAAAGGAGGAAGTTAAGGTAGTTGAAGTAAAGGATGAAAATAATGGCTAGTATTAAATGTACTTACAGTGACTGTACATATTCGTACATTGAATGGTCCAACGAAGAGAAAAATGTTTTCTTACACAACACAAGTGTAGATGAATTTTACAATTTTCAAAAGAAGAAAAGATTTCATTTTTTACTTATCATATAAATATAAATTCATTCCTTCCATCAAATTACATACTCATTTTTTCATCATGCGTCAAATGACGGACATTATTTAGATTTTTCTTAGATATAAGAGACATACAATCGGGAGTAGTTCTATTTCACTGAAATCCCATATTTTTTAAATGTTATATATTTGTATCATGGCTGTTGTAGAATATTATTTAACTAAATACCATCGTGTAAGTAGACTGGATAAAAATCCTGATGAAGAAATAAGTATGTCGATGAACAGTCGTAAATTGATTCGATACATTTGTAGATTGAAAAACATGTAAAATAGTCCGCTCATTGTTTTCTTTGTATCAGTATCTATCTTTTAATACATATACGAGGAAAAGAAGCATTGAATAAATGATTTAATGCTTTACGTGTATCGTAGAATAAAATATAAATTCCAACTTCGACTATATATCATCTAATGATGTAGCGTAGTAAATTCTTATAAAGATTTATATTTTTGTTTTGTTTCTTTTTTTTTTAATTGTACATGATGTAAGTTCATTCATGCCGATATTAAAAACAAATGACTTTTCTCTGTAGCAATATTAATAGATACTTATTATAAAAAAATCAATCTCAATTTATTATCTTAATAACAATAATTTTTGTTTTAATTCTTTATAAATAAGAAATAAACAAATTTTTGAACGAAATAAATTTCTAAATAAATTCAAAATGAGACCTTCTATGCCCGTTTCATTTCCGTGTTCTAAGTTTTTTTATTTAGAATTCGCCCAAATTGGAATATTCATCCATACGTAATCATCTTTAAAATATTTCTATTACATTCTTCAGACAATTCTGGTATGCATGTATTTTCTTATTTTGTAAATGCATTAAATTATAATTAAGATTTCTCAGATTAAATTAATTTTGAAATAAAACATGAAACGAAGTATATATTGCCTATCATTTTATTAATTGATTCAATCGAGTTTAGATATCTTTGAATTGGTAAAACATTTGGTAATAAGGGAAGAAACAATTTAGAAAGAAGCAAGATTAAGCGTTGTAATTTATTAACTAATTTATACGCAGAACGTGTAAATCTTTGTTGGTAAATTCTCTTTCTACGATATTCTGAGGTAGGAGGGAATGGTATGAAAGGGGCGTTCCGCCATGCAACCTCGGAATATGGCTAATGCGTCTCTCTGCTGTCGTCTTCTTTCCTTCTATTCCCTTTGCACTTCAGCAAAATAACTCCTTGAGATAGTAAATAGTAACCTCATTACAGAATATTTACCAAAATATTAAAGTTCAATTATTGTAAGTAACATCAAATATTATCACAATTATAATTAACTATATAAAAATCGTTACCGATCCTTATTGAAGGTAGTAGCACAGACAAGGTATTCATATATCTTGTCTATAATGATGGTAATAAGCAAATTTGTGTATTTATATCGACACCGATAAAATACTCTGACGTGTTATTTATTTTATTTTTTAATAAAACATAAGGATAAAAAATTAAATTTTATAATTAAAATATACAATTTATTTCATATAACGATATATAACTTGCTAACATTGGAATAGATTCATAATATGATAGAAGAGAATTTTTCTTTTCTGTTCTACTATTTTTCTAATTGACAAATAATTCTAGCAAATATAGGAGATTATCTCGCATATTATCCAACATTCATCCACGGAAGCGATAAAAGGAAACAGATTAAGAGTTAAAGCGGCGACGCTCGACATCGGATAGCGCAGAAGCATGAAGCGTGCGACGCGACGCGTCGCGGAGACATGAGAGAAGTCGACAGAGGCTAGGGGTCTGCGAGCTATTTGTACACCGAATGGAAAACGCGCCAAAGACTCGCCTCCAGACGAAAGAAACACGCTGGATCACGGAAATGGGACATTTTCTTAATTATCACGTTCTACTCTATACTTTTTTTCTTCTCCTCATTCTCTATCGTAAAACTGCCGTAAAAATTGCCGACGAGATGAAAGAACATAAAGATAAAAAAACGAAGAATCCAGTTTTGAGACCATGTTAGGTTAAAGTGTGACCAAGATCAAACTAGTGATAGAGATGACAATCTTTAAATTAAGAAAAATTTAGGTAAACGTTATAGAAATTCTTTAAAGAAAACATCTATATAATATCTTTTTTCTGTACCTACATATCTTTTTCTAGAAAGAAAATGCACTTGCACTGTTCGACCATTGTGTTCCTCAAGTTCCACAATACCTATGTCCTTTTTATTTATGTTTAAATACTTAGAATAGAGACTCATTCCTATTTTCGAAAATGCGACAGAAACACTACAACAAATTCATGAAAGGAGAACTCGCATGTAATCAGGTAACTGTTAAGAGTATCCTACTTGTGGTTTCACGTTTCTCAAAGTATGGAATGACTATTCTATCACTTTAGCCACTTACGTTCTCGGGAAATTGCGCGGTTCGAGGTTAACGCTGCACCTTTCCACTTGCACAAAATTTCGGTCCATTAATCGTGCTCGTGCTCTTCTAATACATTCTATTCTATTCTAGGCGAGAAAGATACGCGGCGCGGCCCGTTTCCTCGCAGAGGGTTTATTTACCCGTTAATTTATTAGCGTATCTTCGTCATGGCGTAGCTCGTAATCGAGCGCGACGGAGTTCGCGAGCACGACGTGCCGCATGAGTAGAAAGCTCGCTACCAGGAGTCAACAGTATTTTAAACGGGGAGGGATCGTAACCGAATACAACGACCGAAAACACCTTTATCTCGTGCATGAATCTTCACGTTCGTTGAAAAACCACTGACGTGCAGTTGTCATGGAAATTTATACAGCTATTCACGGCCAATGTCTGTCCACTCCTCTGATATTATAACTTGAAACTATTAGATGGAGCTCTTACATCTGAAATAAATTATTCTGTCCGTCTTTTACTAGGTATACCTACAGTTCCTGTAGGACTTGATCATGTGCCATTCAAAGATTCCAATATTTTTCAGTCTGCAGTACGTAATTGAAACGTACGTAAGTAGACGAACTCTAATAGTAACATTTATTAATTACTATGATATTTAGTAATTTGTATTACCAACTTATAAAAATGAAACATGCAATCCTAATTGATTGGCCAGGAGCTGTGCTATTAATATGCCAATTTGTCAGTTTTAAATTATTATTATTAAATGTTTATCTTGATTAATAGTTAATCTAAAACTTATTATTTCATAATTTCACTTAAATTTTTTCTTTTAAAAAAAAATCTATGTGTGAGAATTTTTCAGGTGAAAGAAATTACGGCGATCAAGGAGTAATTCTCCTTTCTTATTCGCGGTTGAAAGCGTCGCGCTGTTGATGTCGTTAATGAGAATATGGAAAACTGACACTGAACGACTTCCAACGAAACGGTTACCATGGGTAAATTCTACGCTCCTTTGACTAGGGAGTAATAGAGTATTGGGGCGGAGTATCTTACCGCAGAATGGAAAAGGGGATATTCATATTTCAAAGGAACAAGCCGTCATGCCGCCACAGTGTTCATTATGTTATAATTGCCTAAACGTCAAAAGAAAAAACAGCGTGTATGTCGACAGCTGAGCTAAGGATTCAACAAGTTTTTAGAGCTATATGAATCTCACTTGTCAGGTATCACATCTTTATCGACAGAAGTAAAAAAAATCATAGAAATAGGTGAAAAAGTAATAGCAATTTTGTAATACTTAAAAAAATAGCAATGTCGCAGTCTTTGTATAAATAGTAGTTGAAACGAGCTTTATTTTGCTTTCCACTGGAAAAACTATCATTGGTTATTTTGGCCAAGACCCGTGAAGCTGGAAACGCCAAGTGGGTGTCTAATTTCGTCGAAGAGGAGGGATTTCACGCTCGATCAACGCTGATTGGACAACGCCGATCCGTTTGCTTTTATAACTCTGAGCTTTCAAACGGAGCTTGCGCGCGCGCATTTGCACAAAAGATAGCAACACGTGCATTATCTGTATTGGAATAATTAACGTTACCAAATTTAAGATTCGTGGAAAAGATATGTATAGCATTTATTGTTCTATAGCTATTGTAATTATTTTTCTTAAACAATTTGTTCTTTAAGCTAAAAAAATGAAGTTAAAATTCAAGCTGGAAAGAGTTAACGTCGCTGTTTCTTTGAGGAATATCGTTTTTGTGAAAAACAAAAGAGGAAACGATTAATTTAGTTGTAAGTTTGTTGTACGCCTTAAGAACGATATCGCATCTCATTAAGCATGCACACCCATTATCTTCGGTTATAGAGAAACATTGCTGATTATTCAGAATGGAAGCATCAATCAAGCAGTCCACGTTATCGGTCCATGTTCGCGCGTTTATTACAAGAACGTTAACAGAATACGTAAAAGCCTGAGAAATGGACAATAATTCTATGTGCTACTATCAAACGAAGGTATATTTTACGACCGTTCCGTTCCTTTAGATACGCGCTTTTATTCTTTGTCGAATCGAAATCAATAAAGAATCTAACAAACAAAAGTTTCTGTTACTTGCTGCACGACAATGAAGCTTAAATTTAAAGTTTTGTAGCTTTGGAAATTTGAATATTGAAATTCATCAAACAAATTTTAAATTTGTTTCAGATATTCAAGTCAAAGCAATCAGAGTGATTATAATTTAATTACTGAAACTATGTGTTAGATGATTTACGTTTTTTCTGCGCCATTTCTTAAACATGGCGTCGACTGTTTCTGGAACGGTGATCAAACTGAATACATACCTTGTATTCGATCGATTGGAAACTCGCGATTACATGAGTAACACAGACAATTAAATCCCGTTGACTTGGCTGGTTCTTTTTACATTCTGGACCTCTATTGCTCAAATGAACTTTACTTTTGCTTCACGGAAGTTTTGGTAATTATAAAGATCATCGCAACAGATTAACTTCGAGTTTTCCAAATTCAACGAATAATGGTAATATTCCATTCTCCATCCTAAAATCACAATATGGTAGCCGATATATCTTAATAAAAATTCATAATAAGTAAGTTACACTATGAGCGTAATTTTCACATCAAGAATTAATAGAATATGATTTGAGTTATGCTATTCAAAAAACTTAATAACTTCTAATGTTTGAAAAGAAAAAGATAAAAACAATTAGATATCTAATAATTAGTTTAAAAAATTAAAAATGTGCTAGCATATGTAAATATGCTGGTGTTGTTTCAGTGTTAAAGATCAAATTTTTTTCTCCTTGAATCGCTCTTTCTGTTCTAACGAACAACAAGATGTTTGACTATGCGCCATTTGTATCATTCGCAAGAATTCGAATGTTTGAAACGCGTGCCAAAAAGAAGCAGAATTGTAGGGAATCTAATGGATCGTTATATTCTTGAACTTTCCAGTATGCCAACTAAGCCATAAGTTAGAAAGTAAATTAATGTTCATCAATATTAATTTCAAATTAATTAATTCAAAGTACATACCTATACTTTCAATAATTGTAAAGATAAAAAGGCTTAGATCTCATCATTCTAATAATTGTGCGTATTTATCTTTTACTAATCTATTTTTTATATATACACTCTGTATAAGATTAATAAATTTATTTGATACTTACATAACACTTATTCTTCTCAGATTTTCATCTCGGATTTCGAAGAATTTCGATGGAAAAGAAATAATTTCGTTGTTTAACTTAAAGGAAAACATATATTTCCTAATGACAAAAGTTGCATTCCATAAAAAAGCATGGCAGAGGACTATAGTCGCACAATCGTGAGACGATCGTGGATATTTATCAATTAAATAATATCCCTCCGATTCATCGGAGGTGCTGTTCGTAACATTTCACCCTCGTTTAACTGGGAGCAAATAATTTTCTATCCTTAACGATTATATCATTAGGTACATGTACGTAAGAATCGAACAAACATACAAAAAAGTAAAACAGGATAAATGACTAAAATATTTGCAGGTTCCACGCGTAACGTGCAAATTGTTTTTTTTTTTCAAAGTTGCAACAATCTCGATTATCTTCTCTCACAGTTCGTTTCACATGTAATGACGAACGTAGAATTTCTTTATGGCACTCGAAAAAAAGGCACTCTTGGTAAATGACGATAAAAATACATAATACTGGTGAGATGATATAGGTTTTCGCCAGCCCCACAGCACATTACTCATTCGTATCTCTTTCTTTATCTTTATTCTCACTCGCAATCATTCTTCTATCGTTTCAATCTTCCTTTTTCTTTTAATTACATATTGGTTACTAATGAATCGATACATATGCAACCGTTATACCACAATCCAATTACCTAGTCTTTAAATCACTTGCTTGTTTTATCATCCGATAAAATCCGATCTAAGATGCCGATCATTTTAATTACAGGGACTAGCCGGTTGACTGTTCGTCGCTGACGACTGCATCATGATCGATTGTACAGCGAGCACCGGTGATGTAGTCGCTACAGAGGTCACGGTGTCCGAGTGGTGATGATGATGATGATGGTACAGAGCCGACGCGTAATATTGCTGATGATGGTGATGATGGTGGTGCGGATGATGATAACCGCTAGCCTCCTCGTTATTATTATTGCCGGTAGCGTTGTCGTTGCTCTGGTGATGATGATGATGACCGTGGTGATGATTATTGTTCACCGTAACGCATAATGGCGACGTCGGTGACGGAGACGATTGCGAATTGCTGGCGAGGATGTCGTGAACTGTGTGAGGACTTGGCCACTGCAGACTGGCGGAAGTAGTCGTCTGATGGCCAATACCAGCGTGAATGGTGGTTGGAGAAGACGGTGACAGCTTGCCCGGCGTCGTCGGCCCAACTGGAAACGCACCGGTACCAAATTGGTATGGAGAGGTTCGTTCGAATTCGATTATTCAGCGCTCGTATCAGGATGGAAGAAAGAGACGCGACTGTTGCCTGATATCCCGCGAGCTCGTTGCTAGAACTGAACGCACACTTCAGGTTGCGCTGGTGGAGAACAAATGTTTCTTTCTGGGCAGATTTATGTTTTTGTTCCTCCTCTCTGTTTCGTACTGAGATACGAACAGAGAAGAAGTATACATCTACTGTTCTTCCACCAATGTGTCACGTATCATGCTCGGTAAGTTGGCGTCTCCAGCGAGAACTTCATTTTAAAAGTAACTCTTAAAAGCTATCTGGGATAATAGGGGGATGAAATTTCACTCTATTTCTTTTATTTTAGAAGTAACTAAATATATGTTGCTAAATTGAACTTGATTCAACTGTTTAATAGATACTAGATATTACATTTATGATAATTACAAGTAACAGGGCGAAAGTCCACTCATAGTAGCCTTCAAGAGTTATTCGCACCGATCACACGCGATAAATAGATATCTATATATATTTATAGGTATAATTATCTACTACAATGCTGATCATCGGGAACGCAAAAAATCTAAAATCGCAGGAAGTTCTCGCTCGAGGAAGAAGAACAAGTCGCGAGATCATTGAGGCTACCAACCTTGATGATGATGGTGGTGGTGATGGTGCGTCACAGCGGGCGGCGGCGTCGCGTGATAAGGCGTCGGTGGATACGGGACAGGACAGAGGGCAGCTCCAGCCGCGGCTGCGGCCGCGTACAAATGATGATGATGATGATGATGCGCCGGATGATGGGGATGATGATGAATCGCGGTCGCCGCGCCGACTTTGTTTCTCAATATCCTCGAGATGCTGCTCACCGATGGCACGTTGTATTTGTCGCATACGCCATCCGACAGCAAACGATCCCTGATCTCCCACGCGAAGATACCAGGATCCTTTAGCTTCAATTGTTTGATATACTGCACCACTTTTGGGGTAGTGACACGGGGTTTACTGCCACCGATCGCACCAGGCAATATGCTGCCTGTCTCGTGGTACCGGGCCAAAATCTTGCTGACACAACCATGGCTGACCCGCAGCTGCCGCGAGATGTCGCACGGCCTGATGCCCAGCTGTGCAAGTTCCACTATTCGCAATCTAACTGCGTTTGGCAAGGGCCGACCATTCACGAACACACCCCCTAATTGGTTCACCTCGCCGTACTGTTGCTGCTGTTGTTGCTGATGCGGCTGCTGTTGCTGCTGCTGCTGTTGATCTGCACCGAGTTCGCTCGCGTTACTTTCTATCCGTGAACAATGCCGAACGATGCATTAGTTATTGCTAATTGTAACAACATTCAAATAGAGATAAGTTTAATATGTAAATTCATTATTTTTGTTAAGTTTAAAAATTTAAGGGTAAGAATCTTCGTTATTGATCTGAAGAATGTATGACTCGCGTGTTGACTCTGATTGTTTATATTATAGTTGAAAAAGAGTTGGAAACAATCGAAGAAAAATTAGTATTTGATTACGTTAAGATTCTTTAAATTTCCGTTTCATTTAATTTTTTTTTTTTCAGATACGTGACACCCCATTTCTTAATTCGGAGTGGAAACGTGACATCGATTTACAAACTCGTCACGAGTCAGAGGCGCAGATTATTTTACGTTGTATTGGAACGTGAAACAAGCGAGTAATCTCACATCGATTCGACGGGTACTAAATAACTCGACAATAATATACTTCACATCGGGACTTACACCTGGCGCCTTGGGTTCATTTTAATGAGATGCAGATGTATGTCGGTTGCTTGCCTCTACTCGGGCGAGCTTGTCTGTAATAACCTTTAATTAGCGAAGCAATGCCCTAGCAATTGCCTCTAACTGCGTTCCAAACCCACCTAAATTCCATCCGTCGGTAAGCAAAGACAACAACCCGTTACGAGAATAATAAGAGAGCTATCTTTAACTCGAGACCGATGTTCACGTGTTGTTATGATTCTCAACGGGCACGTTAATTCCCCATTGTCCAGGAAAACAGAGAGATTAATGGACGAAGCTCAAAATAGAATTTTTCGACAGTGCCAATAAGTAGTCGATTCTAAACAAAATTTTTGCGACCGACTTGAAACAAATGACAAATCAACAAGATCTAAAAAAAGACTAAAACATCTTGCTTTTTACAGACAGATGTCTCGGGTGCAAAAACGTTAATGCGTGAACATCTTCCAGAGTTCTTTGATGTCGAGGATCGAACGCTTCTTTTTCCTTTTGTATCTATTTGAGGAGGCGCGGAATGGAAATAGAGAGGTGAACAGATATCCGTGAAGGAAGTACGAAATCGTCACTGTGGAACGCAACTCTTTCCCCCATCCATGGAAGGAAGAAAATTTATATGGCCTGCCTTCTTTCTCTCTTCGGTTACGTTGATTTTCATACTCCCTACTTATCGTTTCTCTTTTCTACGGCGAACACCAAGCTGACGTACGTGCATTACGAAGAAGTGGAATAAATAAGAAAACCGCAGCGGAAAGGAAGGGCCCTACGATGCCTCCGTGATTCCTGGAAAAAGAGTTTCGTCGCCGACGCCGCCGACCGTAGAGACGCGTTTTTACGCGGCCACCGGCCACCATTTTTTTCTTCGTCCCCCTTTTCGACATCCCCTCGATCTCTCCATAATGGCGGTTTCTTGACAGAGGCGCGAAACACGCGTCTTCTACGCCACATTTCCATTATAAACGATAGTCCATCGATATTACGCGGAGGGAAGAAGTTCGTTTTTGAACTTGCTATGCTTAAAATAATTTTGCTGATTTCTTGATAATTTATTACATTTATTTCACTACTGATTTCAAGTATTTTGAAGATAGAATGCATAAAATATTATGTAGAATTCGTATTAGATATAGTTAATTCTTTAAAGATATATGTTTTTCCTTTATTTTACGTTATAAATAGAATTTAGAATAATTAAAATCAACAGCTAGAATTTAAGAAGAAATCTGAAACTGAGTTATGATCGATCCAAATTTTAGTTACACGCTATGAAATCTTTTCCTCCCCTCCGTAATATTCTTTCCAAGTACAAATTGACATTTTTATTTTTAATACTCTTATATTGCTCGAGAAATTCATAAATATTTTCTTTTAATTTCGTAAAGACGAAAGGTTTCGTTTTAATCAAAAGACAAACGAGGAGGCGGCTTTCCAAGAATCACCCTGTTAAAAGGAGCGAGTTTTTCAGTGGATCGCCGATTCGGGGAACGACCCCGACGCGACGTGGCCCGTTAAACTCCAACGATTTGAACTTAATGATCCGCGTTACATTAAAGCTCCGTCTTTTTGCTGTCTTTTTGCCGGCGAACCAGTCGATCGCGGAGGAGTAGCGCAGGCTCGTTAAACGGAAGACAAGCCTCGTGGTTTATGCGTGCTTCTCGGTCAGATCTATTCTATAAGTGAGTAATTAATGAGAGGATAAACCGCTTGCTTGATAGATTTATAATTACAACGAATTTTCTTGCCTTTCCAGCTGTTACCACCTCACCGAGTAGAGATGACACTCACGATATTTGAAAATTCACGATTTTTAAAAAGGAAACAATTTCCCGGGATTATATATTTAGATCAAATTATTTACAGTGACTTGACGAAAATAAGAGAAAATGTGGATACGTGTCGATATCAACAAGTAAGTACTATCTTCTTGATTCTTTGTGGATATAGAATAGTGCACCTTGCGTTCAACGAAATCTTTCTTTTTTACATAACGTAAAGCAAATATTTTTTTGTCTTCGGGGCATTAATCTTCGGGTCTTAAAGGACCTAGCTTTAGAAATCCAATAAGGGTCCGTAATATATTCTCAGCGGTATATGGGTCTCTCCCTAAGTCTTCCAGCTTGTAAACCCAGACGATAACAGAAATGAAAACATACTAATTCAACAAGACAAAATCCGGATGGTATCATGATTGTTCACAATTACAACGGTACATTTTTTATAAATCAAATGATATTACATTTCAGTAGATATTAAAATATAGATAGTTTTTAAAATCTGGATAGCTTTTAAATATCTGTATATTCCAAGCTTTTCATGAACGAAGTGCTCCAAAAAAAAAGGAAGAAGACAAATGACAAAAAGATGATTAAAAAAAGTAAGAAGTAGTTCAGAAAAAGAACGTAATAAGTCAGATTTTCCATCATCTACCGACATTAAAAAAAATCAATATTGGTTTATAATAATATAAAAAGGAAAGGATGTCCTTTTCTGATATTATACGACGAGAAGATGATGCTCCTGGTGCAGAGCATGTGTGCAGACGCACACGCGTGCAACGATTCATCCTCCTCAGCAGTGGATACGTGTATTACACGCGTGTAAAATGACTACACGCGTCGGACCCTTTGATGTCAGCCATTCATCACCGCGGACCGGAGAAAAAGTCTAATAATATTGCGTGCACGGTGACGTTCACGCGCGTGTGCGCGCGTGAAATGGCTAGATCGTCGGTTCCACACGACGATTCGCAGACGTATGCATCCACTCGATCTTCCTACGGCGATTTATTCCTTCTTGATTCGCGGGATCCGAGGAATTCGAGCAGTTCTTCGCGACGACGACGAGAAAAGAGAAGAAAAGGGAAGAAAATGAAATGAATTGTGGTCACAATCTGACGAATTTACCACAATCGTGGATTATATTAGAGAAACGATGGAAGTCGGCGTCATGCTCGTGATCGAGATTGATAACGCGAGTCCAAGTGTAATTGACAACGTCCAACCGTAACATGAACGTTGAATGGTCGATTCATCGGAAACGATGTGGATGAAAGGTACATTGTACACTTGATATTAACTATTAGAATTAGGACTATGTAAATCCTTTAGTGTCCTTCGTTTCTTTCGATAAAAATTAAAAGTTATGAATGAACTTTATAGTAGCGTTTATTTACGTATATTATGTTAGTAATTTGTGTTTTCCTCACTTGCCTGAATTACAACTTGTGTTCCACACGTACATGTAATTTATATTGCTGTTATTTTGCCAAATATTCTGAGATTTCGTCTTCAAACCGTGGTTTGAACAGGTTCCAGGTATTTTTAATAACATTCAAGTTTAGCGAATTGTATAATAGATGTAGCATAGTGCAGTAATAAGCACAGTTTACAGATTAATAATTTGGACAATCAATTGACGATCTTTCATTTTATTTAATTACTTTGCACACAGCCCTGACTCGATTGCCAAGAGTTATATAGTTATTCGTGTAAACGGATCCACCAATTATTCCTCGGCGCGCTTCGTTTTCCGAGGAATTAAGAAGAAAACGATAAAAAGCACGAGACGGCGAGGGAAGGATCGGCTAATTTGGTAGCTGGAAATTTGCGAAAACGATACCGGGGAGGCGGAACAAATTGTCGCTGATAAAAGAAGCAGCAAAAATCATCCTGTATGCTGGTGTATAAGTAGAAAAGTTGAACGGCGAACGCGCGAGCCCGTGATGTGGGCGTGCACCGGACGAGTGATGGATGTCAGTGTCACCCTCGAAAACACGTGTTCCGCTTGCATAGATGCCCGAAACGCGACCAGTGTTTGTCTACCATTCTCACTTGCTAATTATCGACCCCTGTGTTCCGTTCCCCTTTGTCGGTTTCTCGCTCCTCTTTTATAGAAACGGATCTTTCGTTTAATTTCCGCGCTCGCGTGTATCCCGGCGCCCATATGTCACTGATTAGTTTCTTCCAACGTCGCCTCGTCATATCGAAGGTTAAAGGATCTCTCTCGTTTTACACCGCGTACGTGAAACAACGTTGAAACGGTCTGTAACGATCTGCAGCAAATTTTGGCTCGAAATTCGATGCGTGTTGAGTAGTTGGTGATGAGATCGAACACATTGGAAGTGGATAGGCTTGGAACATCTCGTAAATAAGTACTTAACAGGTTCACACTGTTTATAGGTAATTTTAGAAATGAAGAAGCAGGCTACTTTCAACGCCCGAGTTCTAAAAATTAGATTTTGGTGTTCTCTGTATTAGATTTTCTGATTTAGTTGCGGCCGATCGAATCTCATAAAACGAAACTTTCATAGTAGAAACTTCATAGTCGACTCGTACTCGTGACTGCATATTGAACTTGAGTCCATTGCTACTGTTGAACACTCGGTAATGAAATTAACGAAAGGATGGTTAACGAGGTAGACTTACGAAGCCACGTTGGGATTCGTGAGATCGTTTCATGGAATGGAAGATGTTCTGAAGGGTCGTGAATCTTGGTATTTAACCGGAATACTTAGCCAGAATACCGAGTCGATGCACGGGCACAGATTTATAACACGTGTATCCGCGGACGTTCAAAATAGTCCTGTCATGTTTCATCATTATTTCCAGAGGTCTCATAACCTGGGCACTGGCCAAGCGGCGTTGTTAAAATCTACGCGCCATCCCGTACAATCGTAAAACTAATAATTAATAAAAGATCGTCGAACTATGCCTTCAATATTCCATCCGTTGTGTTGCTCTAGGGGATTCTGAAAATCTGTCGCATTCGTAATTCTCTTACACAATGCTCTATCAACTGGAATATTAATAAATTGATATAAGTTAGAAGTTACACATTTATCGTTTACGATTTTATACTTCATTAGACGGGATAAGCAGATAATTTGTAATTTGTAAACTTTACTTGTCTCAACTCTCATTTATAATGTAAAAATAATATGTAGATATTTGTTGCAACACTTAACTAGTAAAATCTCTCAATTTAGATTCCATTTCTTTTTTTATAAATTTACATGTAAATCATTTGTCTTGTTCAATTTTAAGTACAGAGGCAGATGTAGTTACAGTGTGAGTAACTAATATAAATCGTAAATCATGCAACGCAGCGTGAATGATGAATGTGTAACTGTATATAATATACCTATATCTCTTGCGAGCTTTTTAAGGAAAACTTATCGAAACCCAGCATCGAAAGAACTCGGTATTAAATCTTTTTCTAGATTTTTACTTACAGGTTTTATTTATAAGCGTGAAATTTATGCAACACGATGCACGAGGAAATTAATTATACGCTAATCGCGCTACATTTTTCACGATAACCGTTTGACCTCGTCGAACATAGTTTCATCATAGCTCTGCAGATTTCCAGCAAAGTATCTGACGAGAAAAGCTACGACACAATTGAATTTTCAATTGAACTCTCTGATCTCTCTTTTAATAAAACGCGAATCCTATATTTTTTCTATAGAAGTATCGAACTATGATTTTGTCCAAACTAACTTACCTCCGAAATTTCTCACGATGAGGTTTGAATTTCTCGTAAATGTCCGTCCATCCACTTTCCTTGAACTTTAAGCACGGCCTTCAACCACGGTTGACAATTCTGATCGTTCAATGTTAGTTTCTTCGCAACTTCGAACTTTTACGCTTCAATTTTTAATCACACGATAGCGTCTCTTTTCGTCGATGATATTACACATTTGTTTCATTAAACGTTTAACGAACAGGTTTGTAAGTTTCCCGCGCGATTCCTGCTAGGTTTCCCTTTCCCTCGGAGAGAGACCGTAACTTTCTTCGTGCAACCTAAAATACACGCGTGCAAAATTTATCTCGCACACGCGAGCCCGGCTCACATCTGGAAAACGCGATGACAGTGGGACCGAAATATATTTGATCAACGAACAAAAAACGCGCGCTGCCGAAATTTACGTTCCCTTTTTTCCCCCTTAGATCCTTCAAATGCCGTTTGATTTTTATTCAATTAAACAAATAATCGTTCCTTTACGCTGTAATAATTATTCTCTTTTCAGAAATCATCAGAAATAAGGCTCCTTTTTCTAAGAACAATAATTAACAGTCATCGAATAGATATTCGAAAAGAAGATAATAAGTATATTCCAAAGGAAACTACAAATTAATTTTTGACTCTACAGTCCTTAAAAAATTAATCCCGAGAGTTTATAACATTTCTACGAAAATTTATGACTTGATCTCATTTTCACTGTTCTTTCTGTATTTAATTCTGGCGTTTAATTCTTCAGAGGGTTAAATTTCCCTGGAGCAGACACGAGGAATGAATACCAAAGTAAAGGGCGAGCTGTAATTGAAAGCATCCTCTGTGCCGAGACGAAAATTGCTACTCAACTCTGAACGCTATAGAGTCGCGACAAGTTTTTGGGATGGGTTATTAGAAGAAACTCCTGTGGCGGACCGCCAGGATTTTGAATCACGAGACGGGTATGCAAAACTTCACGTCCAAATCGTGCAAGTAATAACTTGTCAACGATACATCTCCGGATCGTTTCGCCTTACGATCGTTGTTTGTAGATGACTATATGCCGTATCTAATAGTCCATATGATACGTTCCACGCTTTCATAGCCAAATCGTGATCCACGGCTACGTTTCTGTCAAAGGATTAATTTTGATAATATCACTCGAAATCGTTCTTTCACATGTTCTTCTCAACTTTTGACTTTCACACGTTGTACATGTGCAATCGAAGAATTGAAATGGCAAAAGATGCAAATGCTAGAAAAAATGAAAGATTCAATTTATAGTATTTATCTAAGATGCTTTCTAGAACGATTTATTTTAGCCTTTAAGTTACGATCATAAATGCCAACTGAATTGCAATTAGTATTAGAAACCTAATACACGATAGTTACAAATAAATAAATATAAAGTAAAAATTTTCTAAACGATAAAAATTCATAGTATGATATATTACGTATAAATATATAATGTACTTAACTGTTAAAATTAATAGAAATTCGTTTTTTTATTCCTATTGGAAATCTTTTACATCACTCACCATTTCAACTGTCCGATTTCAACTTTATTAAATGCCAATTTCGAGCGAAATTTTTTAATTAAATGATCGAAGAGAGTCGTCGTTCAATACAGTTTCCAAAACATTATTCCGAGAACGACAAAAACATATCAGAGTGTTGCTTAATACAATCATAAAAAAAAGATATCTCTCTTACATTTTCGGTTATCTACTATTACGTATTTTATGATATCGCAACGTTTAAACTGCTCAAATTAATTTTTAAATTCTCTAGGAACTCAGATAAATATAATTTTAATACCTTTAGATAATAATTGTTTCAGTTTCGCTTCTCGGAAGAGAGTTCATTCAAACATTTGTGATGTAGCTCGGTAAAATGAAGGAAACGTCGATAAAACGTCAACGTTTTGAAATTAGTAATAGCAGCTTTAGTCAAAGTTACAGCTGCAAATACCTATGAAGGAATTAGGTTTAAAGGAAATAACTATGTAAATTGTCGCGAAACTTTCAAACTTTCAGAGAGGATTGAAAGAGGATTCGAAACATCCCTGAGAGAGGAAGTCACAGGCAAACAGTAGGTAGTTCCTAGGTAGTTTAAGACAACTCCAGAAGCTAGTACAAGTATTTGAGCAGTCCTTTGTCAACTGGACCTTTTAAAAGCTGGCTTCCTTGTTTAACTAGAACAAACGGTACTAATTGAACGCTAATGAATCTGTAACTGTATGTTGTCTGACAGTGTCAATAAAACGAGAGGAGATGCGTTCCTCAATCTTCCATCGGGAACAATCTGATTTTCTACACGATAACTAAAACGTGAGTTTTTACCTTTTAAAACTATAAAATTCACATTAAATTATAGATCGTTTCTTTTTGTAAAATTAATATTATTTTTCCAGTGAGATGGAAATAGATTTTAAAAATGCAAAATACACGAAATATAGAAGAAGTTACAATTAATGGACGAACCATATCTCTGTCTATGTCTTACTTTGTTCATAAAAATATGGACATAGGTGATCTGAACAATTAAATTCAATTTATTTTCACTGCAACATTTTAATTATAATCTTCTATATTACAGGTCTACAATTTTAGCGTTAAAGCAAAACGCCAGACGTCCACAATAGCAGTTAAAAGTTGGGCATCACCCATCCTCAGTGCATTAATCGCTTAATTATTCCCCGTCGATAGCACTGTATACATTATAAGCATTGTTAAAAACCATTGATAAATTTCAGCGTTCACAGATGTTGGTGAAACTATTTGCGATCAGTGCAAAATAACAGGGGATCGTTAAACAGTTAATCGTTCGTTACGAAGCGTCGTGACAAATTTTTATTATCCATCGTATCTTTCACCCACGCAAACGTAAAAAAATCTGTTCGGGGTAATGTTTTATCTACGGAATACGTTTCCAATGTATCGTAGTTACGTATCGAGGTCTTGAACCGTGCATACGGCTATGGGTGTATTGGTGTCAATGACTTCGGAGATTGTCAACGTCATTAGAGAAAAAGAAACAGAGCCCGATAACGCAGGCGTTTAAAACCGACTTGGACACTGTCTTCGTTTCCATTGTTCTTCCTTGCACTCGCTTTGCGAAATACTAATTTTCTCCAGTTGTATTTGCTTTGTTTATCTTCTATGAGACTACTTTTAGACGATGAAATTTTCATATTTAGAATTTCGACTGTCTTTAAGAACTAGTAGGATCGAAATAACAAATGTTTTAATCATGTGTAAGCAAGGTGGTTAGATTCGTATCATTTCTCGTATCTACGACACTGTCGAAGATGATATTGCTGCAAGGGTAACGTTAGATCTGGGTCATCAGAAGTATTTCACACGTCACAATTAAACGTGGAACATCATCGATTTATGATGATTTATCATTTATGATCCTGCGTTATCGAAATGTAGGTCATTGTGTATTCATATCGTTTATCGGACGTCAATCAAGAATATTTCAGTTCACGTGAAATCGATATTATTTAGAAATTTTTCTTCTCGTTGAAATACTTGCTCAGAAATAAATAAAACAAAACTAGAATTCATATTAATCGATGTTTAAATTTCTTCAAAAACGGGTTTAAAAAAACTGAGTAAATTTTCAAAAACTCGTGCTAGTATCCTTCTTTATTTTATACGAAGCGAACATCTAAGAACATCTGCAAACTATTAAATATATGTATAGAACTCAATTATTTGCCATGCAATATAATTAATCATACACCAAATAAATTTTTTTTCAGATTTGGAAGCTTCGATAAAAATATGTGATTAATGAAGAATACTGGACAACAAACCAATGTTTCGATAACATGTATCAAAGAAGACGTATTTCCAAATATTTGGTAGTAACAGAAATATACAGTTGACTGGACAGTTTCGCTAGTATTTAGTGGCATAAATCATGCACCTCGAGAAATGTCTTGTTAGGACAGTCCTTTTCGATACTCGTCAAGCCAGAAAACGTCGCTGACATAATTATTAAACACAGATTTATTCGTTCTACGTTTTGTAGAATCCGTGGCCAGTCTCGTATACGATCGCTACAACTGTCGAAAGTTTCAGAAGCAGGAAAAAGAAAAAAGGAAGAAAGCAGCGCGATAAGGAGCTGAGCAGGGTATCCGGGACCCAATAAGGTCAAAGATTTCTGGAGAAATGAATACAGCATACTTTCTATGAATGAATCGCTACTCTCGTAATACACGAATTATTTATTGGTTTTACACGCGGATTATTTCACCATTTGCCAACTACTTCTGTGTTTTTGTAGATTTTATACGACTTCTTTGAATCATTCTTGGTTCCGCCAATTAAACAACCATCAATTTGACAACAACTAACCAGAAGATTTAATGGGAACATATGGGTATACTCGCGTTGGCAGATAATTCCGGTAACCTATTTTATTATCGTTGGCGATTCGCTTGAAATTAATAAGTAGCGAGCGACGGCGCCACACCAAGATACAAACAAGTGTCACGTCTTATTCAACTATAAATTAAATTCAATTAGGTCGAAGTTGACTGACATATGCAAGCATGTCGCGCGCCGTCAATATTCGAGCTTTCGTCTCGTTCAATAGCCGGATTCGTGGAAGAACTCGCGTGAAGAAAAGAAGTTCCGTGTTTGGCTGGCGTCAAAACGCTTGCCAGTCATCGCTTGTGTACAAAGTTATATCACGCTTTGAAATTCTGTCGCAGATAAGATGCGGACAGCCTCGTTAACTGCGAATTCTAACGTTACATGAAGTTACTGAAAGTTTGGAGGAAGGTATTAAACACAATGAACAAATTCTGTGGAATTGCGTGCGCGTGTAAGTAAATAATAGTACGTAAATTTATAACTTGATAATGTAACATTATATACTTTCACTCAAAAATGTTAGAACACTTACTATTTTTAGTAAAACATCATTTGACGTAGTATTCAGTATTTTTCAATGAACTTTAAGTTTACTATATCAACGTTAACTAGAGTCTTTGTCATAGCTAAAAAATCTCTCAACTCACATCTTTCAATTATTATTTATCTAACTCTGAGCAAATATGACTATTCTCAGATATTTGACTCCTTTTGTCAATGAAAATATAAACTTGCACAAATATAAGTAAGTCTAGATATTTATTTCTGTCACTCACCAGCTATTTGCTGTGGCATAACACAATTCTTCTTCGATTGCATCAAATCAATATACAAGAATATACATATTTTTCTCAATTTCTGCCAGTTTTTATTATATAAATAACATTATATTATGTTATATAAAAATGTTTATGGATATTATGTAATTATAATTTTATTATGTGTTATTTACATGACGTGGGAATTGTAGGAACAATTTCTCACCTAGTACGATGGGATCCATCAGGAAGAGCAGCCTTGCAGCCGTCGGCTATACGCAACGCGAGTACTCCAGCTCTTTCGCGGATCTTTTCCAGTTTGATCCAACTCTTCTCCGCTTCAATTATACCATTCGAAACAAACTCTTCGATTTAGGTACGTATTATCTTTCTGCTTATCAATCTTAGAAATGTTTTTTGAAGTTTATCAAATAATCTGCACTTCATTCACTATGCACCATCGTGTTCTTTCAATTACCAGCATCCCTTCCGCTTCACATTTCCTACCGATACGTGGAACAGATGGCTCGATTCATTTCAAAAAATCTTCTGAACAAAATTTTAACGAATAAAAACAGAATTGTATGTTTCACAGGAAAAGTATCAATGATACCACTTCACAGCTTCAATACGGGCAAATCGAGGCAATGACCAATCACAGTGGTTCATTCAGAGTGACACGTGAAGCAGGTGTTCTCCAGGAGAATACTGGAAGAATAAAATGGTAACAAGCATGAAGGACAACCACGTCGCTTTTCTTCGTAGTCTTCCACTAACGCGCACCGGAGGAAAACACAAAAGCCGTTTTTGTGGTTATCCACGGAAAAACACCACAATTTAACAATGGGTAAATAATCTGGTAGCACAACGGCGAGATAATCCGGTGCAGGGTACCGTGTCCGTGGGTACACTCGCGAACTATAAAAGAAGAAATGCGAACATAGACGAAAAAGAGAGATAGAGATGGAGAAAGGGAGTAACGGTGGAGTTGCGGCTAGACGAGACGAAAAAAGAAGCACGGACACGGTCAATGGTGCGCGGCTCGCCCTTCGCTGCCTCACTGACTGGGGCGACAGATTTACCAGAGCAGAAATAAGAAATCTCCTCTCTGACTAGTAGCGTAGTCTTTCGTACGTGGACCCCCGCCTGCTCCCTTGTATGTATATGTGTACAACACGAATTAGCGTAGAGAGCATATCTCGTAGGGGTACAAGTGTACGGATGAAAGGACCCATCTACTAAGTGTTTGTTTTAAGAGTGCATAAGTATATACATATGTGGCAAGAATGACCAAGAGAAACCTGAAGATTCAGTATGAACGAATGAGATAAAATGCGGAGAAACGCATCATTTGAGGAAAGAAAGATAGATAGTAAAACAAGAGAGGAACATGTGAAGAAATGTAAGAAGAAAAGGGATGGAAGATGAGAGGGCTGCAAGTGGTCGATCGACCAATCGGTGGCTGCTCACACTAAAGTCACGCACATACTTTTGCGCCTGTATCGCACAAGAAAGTGTATATACATACATTTATTCTCTCGTGATTACGTTTCATTACTGTTGCATGCGTAAGAGTATACACTGGTGCGCACGCTCAACCAAGCACGGCCAATAATCACGGTGGAACTAAGAGGGAAAGCTGGCCACGCTTAAGAGGCGGAGTCACATTCACACGGGCCATTGGCGAGAGCAGTGCACCGTGAGTGAGCCTGGTTTACGCCTCTTCATTGTGCTCTTCTGCCAAGCATTTATTGTCTTATTCTACTTAAGTGCATACACACTTCCTACGAGCTGATGACTCGAATATGTATACATATAAGTATACTTAGCCATTTCATCAAACTATGTTCGATTTCTACTTGTAAATTATTATCTCTACAAGTAAAATAGCGGTGCATAATATGCGAAAATTTGCAAGTTAACTTCAATATGCATACATATGTGTATACATTAAGTTTGGGGTATTTGTTCTAATATTTAGTTTTTAAGATTCTTTTTTATTCTTTACCCAATGTAACAGATAATCTTGAAATAAGAAAATAAAAAAATTATTTTTAAGAACTTTTAGTGTATTTTATACATAATTTTGATTTTGATCCATGAAACCGAACTTTGTGAATGTATAATTCTTTACTTCGCATTGCACAGCTATCTATCTGATTTTTTAGAAATTCTTTGTGTGTTTTTTACAGCATAAACGTTACCATCTATCGATTACGTATTCTTCTTTATTCAGCAGGTTATGCATCGCAGCGCCAATAGTAACAGGAATTAAAATCAAAACATATGAACACAGACATGGTATATCAGAGATGGAACTACCGGCCTCTCTCCGGTACTTGCTTAGCAGGAAAATCAACAGATTGAGAGAGTGGGGTTCATGCATGGCGAGGAAATTTGATTCAATGAGATTTTAAAAAATTTTAATCCAAATTTGGGATATCCAAAATTCTAATTCAGATTTTACCAGGAGTACAGATATAAATACAACTTGTCTGTATCAGAAGTTAAATATCGTTAGAATGAAAGCTTCGATCAATTGAGTAAAATTAATTAATGGCCTTGATTAGTTTTTCTCATAAATGAAAATTTTTATTGATTCACGGTCATAGAAACGCTAGCGTCGCGTAGCGGTGAAACGGTGGAACTAAAATCTATCTCTGTCCTTGTCGCTTACTAGTGCGCTCCTTGTCTGTCACGTTGCAAATATCTGTCCTTGTCGCACGGCATTGCTCTCCTTGTCTATCGTGCATGTATGTCTGTCTTTGTCTCACACTAATGCCCTCCTTGTCTAATGGGGTTAGACAAGGAGAGCAACAGTGTGCGACAAGGACATCCTTCGATCTATTGAAAAAAAAATTCAACTATTTACACACACGTTTTTCTAGGATAAAACTCACATAGAAAGAAAGCGGGGAGCCTCATTTTAAGGAAACACATAAAAAAGTTTGCAATTTATTCCTCCTAATTAGGTTTTTTTCATAATTAGTGTGAACTGTCACAAAATGGACATGGTGGCGCCATCTAGCGGCAACTCAGAGATACTAATTATTTATAAAAATACTTATTTCTGCATTTAACGGGTCAAATGGGGTATGAAAAGAAAGCTAAGTGTCTCATTAGGGTAATACAGTCACCAAAGTTCACAATTCATTTCGCTAAATTAGGTTTTTTCGCAAATGAAAATTTCTCTGTTTTACGGGGTAAGAAACACTAGCGCCGCGTTGTGGTAGAACGGTGGAACTAAACGCTCTATAACCATATAAGGGGAATAATTAATTTTAATTTTTCACGCTACTAATTTGCACTCCACGAGCATATATTTCAAAGATAACGCTATCAGTTATGTTCGCAAATAAATCTGAATTTAATATTCACTATAGTTTGCGAGAAATTATTCGCTCACAACTGGCACTATTGCTAACGTAAAATAAATTGAAACATTCTTCATATACGTAAACTATACTTAAACAAAACATAAAATGCAAGCTTAGGGTTTTTAAAATCGAAGACGCAACCATAACAGTTCACAAATGATTCTTCTTAATTAATTTCTTCTCGTAATTTGTAGAAAAACTGTCACCTGTCAAAGTTTAGATGCGACGGTGGCGCCATCTATTGACAACTCGGTGGTACTAAAAACAGAAATCCTGTTTTTAGTACCACCGAGTTATCAATAGATGGCGACGCTAGTATTTCTTACCCCCGTAAAACAGAGAAATTTTCATTTGCGAAAAAACCTAATTTAGCGAAATGAATTGTGAACTTTGGTGATTGTATTACCCTAATGAGACACTTAGCTTTCTTTTCATACCCCATTTGACCCGTTAAATGCAGAAATAAGTATTTTTATAAATAATTAGTACCACTGAGTTGCCGCTAGATGGCGCCACCATGTCCATTTTGTGACAGTTCACACTAATTATGAAAAAAACCTAATTAGGAGGAATAAATTGCAAACTTTTTTATGTGTTTCCTTAAAATGAGGCTCCCCGCTTTCTTTCTATGTGAGTTTTATCCTAGAAAAACGTGTGTGTAAATAGTTGAATTTTTTTTTCAATAGATCGAAGGATGTCCTTGTCGCACACTGTTGCTCTCCTTGTCTAACCCCATTAGACAAGGAGGGCATTAGTGTGAGACAAAGACAGACATACATGCACGATAGACAAGGAGAGCAATGCCGTGCGACAAGGACAGATATTTGCAACGTGACAGACAAGGAGCGCACTAGTAAGCGACAAGGACAGAGATAGATTTTAGTTCCACCGTCTCACCGCTACGCGACGCTAGCGTTTCAAGGTCTGTGACGGCGCAAGTATTTAAAAGAGCTGGTGGCGACATTGATTTGAAATAACGAATGAAGAAAATAAGAAAGCAGAAAATGTTTTGTATTCTCTGTTATTAATAGTCAATCTAAGCAAAATGTTATTAAAACATTAATAAATACTTATTGTTATAGTTTCTTTTTAAAATTGTAAAGGCTATGGTTTAATTTTCAATAAATTCAATTTTCACTTGAAAGAAAAACTAATTTGTAATTTTTTGCAATTGGATCTCCCGAGTTAAATCCTCTCCTTTTTTTTATACCCCATTTGATTTGCACGATGAAGAAATAGATAGTTTTAAAATTAATTGGAATCAGTAATTTACTAATAAATGGTGCCATGATGTCCAAAACAGAACATTTTTTTATTAATTGCAAAAAAAAATGAATTAAGTACTGTTCTATTTGTTTAATTGCGCTCATGCTTTTCTTCTTCCTGAAAATAAAATTTGAAAATAAAATCAATTGCTATGAAAGAGTCATCTTTCATTGCACGAATCAATACTATTCTAACCTTATTCAATGTTCTTTTCAAATGTAAAAATTATTGATGGTCTTTGATTCGTTGAAAAGCAGTACTTGGGGAAACATGATATAATATAAACAATTAAAGAACTTTGTGAAATTATTCGGATCATTTTATATATTGAAACAGCTTCAGTGTATATTCGTTTAATTGATCAATACGATGGATGATGTGTATAAACTTTATAATAAAAATGCTTCAGCAAAAGTGTCCATTAAAGAATATTTTGACAACTATCGAAGTTTAATAGACGACTGTTTTATACCTATGAAAAAAGATGAAAATAATTTGATGTCAATAATGGGTGTAGAACTCGGTGCAGAAGAAATATCTATGTTGACCGAATATTGCAGGTTCCTATTTTTAAGCTTTGACCTCCCAAAGTTGTTCCGTAATAATGTAAGATTAATAATAACGTAAGTTATTTTTAGTGTTGATAATTTAACAGTAGAGGGAGAAGTTCCAAAACTAATCAATAATAGAAGAACAAGGCAAAAAGAAGTATTCGATGCTCAAGAACCGCCAGATGTAGATTTAAAAACCATTCAAAATTTAAAGCAACGATTGAAACCAGACTCCAAACGCCTTGTTTACAAATATCTAAGTGAATTATTTATAGCAAGTATCTCATTCGAAATAAAAACAAACATGTTTTATATACAATTGCTTAACTTGTTCCTTTTTTTTCAGAATTATAAGCAAAAAGAAAGAACAAACGAAATACTTGCTGTTCCCGGTCATGATATTCTTATATTTGTTAGAATTTATCATCCTTTTATACACCGTGGGAAAACTGCACCTAAAAGTGAATGTTGTACATTATTACGATTGCATAATATTATAGCAGTACTTGGCTCTCAAACACTTGCTCATTTAAGGGATAAAATATTATGTGTTGCTGATTACAGTATTTCTAAAGAATGTAGTAATAATCTGGACAATGCAATAGGACCTATGGCAAAGGTAGTAATTCATACATTTCTAATACTTAATTAGTTACAGTATATTATATTTATAATTTATGGTATTTTCATTACTTTAGGATGTTTATAAATCTGGCTTTTTCTTTATCGAAGATACTTTCTATAATGATATGAGATGTTCGACAAATGTTGACTACAGTAAAGTAATTATTGATTGGGCACAAAGAAGACCAAAATTAGGTCCTTTCAAAACTGCCATAATGGAAGATTGTAGACTGGATTCATTATGTTTGAGATTTGGATTTCCATGGGTGTACAAACACCAAGGTGGTTGTGAACACTTAATTGTGTTCAGCGACGCTAGGTAATTTCATTATATTCCGTGCAATCTTTTATTTTTTAAATAAATTTATCTTTTTTTTTGACCTCATTCTGCTAACTAACCATTTTTAGGTTTATTAATTGTGACGATGAATTAGTAATATCTGTCTATCCAAGAATAGTTAGATTACGACCTATGTCTTCCAAACTTTGTATGGTTTGTGGTGTGTATGTTGTTCAATGGATTACAATGGATCATGAAAGAATACCACATAATCCTTGTTATTTCTGTGATGATTGTTTTAAATCCTATAACTATATTGATAATAAAAAGGTCGGCAAATTTAAAGCGTATGCGTATCCACGAAATATTGAAGCTGTGAAAGGAAAGATAGATATATGAATGTACCGAACTCCATCCTTTTTTGTATCAAAAAATAAATTATTTTATTGAAGTTTTCAGAGAATACAGTTTTCTTAAATTCTCCTTTGCACTATTTAATTCTGGTTTGATTTCTAATGCTTTCTTATACATATTTTCCGCTTCGTTGAACTTTTTCCATCTATGATACAATACACCTAAGTTCGTATAAAACATAGCATCTTTAGGATTTCTTGATATTGCATTTTTAAAATGCACTTCTGCCTCCACAAAATTTCCTGCTTTCCCCAATATGTTTGCAATGTTGAAATGAATAGATGCGTCATCTGGTAAGTATTGTAAAGCTTGGTTTCCTATTTTTAATGCGTTGTCACGCATTCCTAAATCGTCAAGAAGTAATATCGTATTGGTCCATGCTCTTCTATGTGTAGTTCTTTGTTTAGTAGCAGATTCCCAAGCTTTCAACGCTTTGTCATAATTTTTCTGCTCCAAATACTAACACAAATATCATTTAAAATTTCCACATTCATTTCTTTTTTAAATTTTAACTAATATTACTAACCATAACGCCTAGATTATAAAAGCAATCAGGATATTTGCTTCTGTAACTCAATGCAGTTAAGTAACTTTTTTCTGATTCTTCGTATTTCTTTAGTGATGACAAAACAATGCCTAAATTCATCCATGCAGTGGCAAAATCCTCCCTGAAAATTAAAACAATAATAATAATACATTAAAAATTACAACAGCTATTAGAATACTATTTTTAGTTTTTGCCAAGTAGTTGGATATATATGTTAGACTTACTGTAACTCAATAGCTCGTTTAAACAATGTCACTGCTTCTAAATATTTTCCTTGATCTTTGAGTAAATTCCCAAGATTATTCATGGCTTGAGCATATTTAGGATTTAATCTACTTAATACATATTAAGATTATCATTGCTTGAGAACTTTATTTAGTTTATAAGTTTATAATTATTTCTATAGTCAATTACACTACCTCAAAGCTTCCTCGTATTCACATTGCGCTAACGTAGAATTTCCGGCATCAGCCGCATTTTTCGCAATATTATAATGCACTTTTGCATTCAATGGACAAACGTGTAATGCTGATCGAAATAATGTAGTTTCACTTCTCCATTGGTCACTCCTTATTAATGATCTCATAAAAAACAACGAAACTAAAGCTACATAGGAGAATAGCATGTATTGCACAGGAATACGATTACATAGTTTTTGTAATCCTATAACAAGTAAAAGGCAATAACCAACAGAGGGAATGTATAGTGTTCTCTCTGCCAAAACGAAACCAACATTGAAGAAGATATTGCTGGCTGGTAGAAATGGAATAATGAGCATTGTCAGTCCCATAATTGAATATCTACAACACAAAGAGAATTTTCTTATGGTTTCATTTTACTATTTCATAAAAAATATATAATACAAATATATACCTTAAAAAGTTGTCCTGATAAGAATTAAAGATATATATAAACATAGCACCAAGTATTAACCAGAATAAAAGAACAAAAAGTATTCTTTTATCATTAAAATTAATGATTAATGGTATACAGCCCATTGACCAATCAAAGCACAACCACTCAGGACATATTAAAAGCCATATGTTTAAACAATAAATGTAGCTGTAATTTAATATTCGTAAAAATATATTGTTCATAAATGATGCTGGATTATCCACGGGTTGAAAGTTTGGTGCTTTAAATCCCATTATACTAAATCTTGAAATCATGAGCATTAAACTAGACAAAAAAAGTATGAAAAGTCTAATTAATAATTTTCGTTTTTGATTGATAAAATTCTTCATTTGTTTATAAGAAGGTTTTAATATTATTTGATGTGGATACAACTTGTTCACTATTATAATGTCATATATACAACAAATTCCCTGAAAAATATATTTATTATTACATTTTTATATTGATATAATAAAGTATAAATAAAAAATATATTTCTTACCATTGTAGTAATGCCTGTTTCTTTACACAGCATTGCAATTGCAACAGATGTAATACAACCACACATACTGAGCCATCTGTGTAGTAATCTTCTTGCATAGATTGAATAGTAATAAAGTATAATGGATATCCACATAAATAGAGCACATAATAATTCTGCTCTACCTACAATGCCTGAAACCTATGCATTTAAATTAGAAAAAACAAAGACATATTTCTTTTTACTAAGAAAAAATGCATGCAATTACAACTACATACAGCTTCTGTATGTACTGGATGAACAGCAAACAATGCAGTAGCATAAAATGTTGTACTTCTTTCTTTTGTGTTTAAAAGTATATTAAATACTGGTAACATTAATACAGAAACAATGGCATGAAGTATTATATTCACTATGTGATAATCTTGAGCTATTAATTTCTTGCGAAGCCAAAAATGTAATCTACAAATAATAGAATTTAATTAGAAAAGAATGACTTAACACATTAAGTTTTATTATATAAAAAATTGCTACCTAAAGGATAAAATTGTGAGTGGTCTATATGACTTATGGCTCTGCTTATGCGTCAGTCTTGTACCCCAAAAATCATTTTTAAACACATCCATCAAAGAGGTAGTTTGTACATCTTCATTGTGCACAATGGCTTCAGAATCATCAAATACAAATTCACCATTGTAACTATTAATAAAACATAGAGATAATGCAGCGATTATAATTAAAGAAAGTGGTAACGGAACATCTGTAACAATTATTATATATATTATCAATGCTATTTAATGTATAAAATACAATGCTGTATATTAATTTACCTGGTAATTTAGAACTTGTTTTCAATGACATGTTGTTTTCCTGTAACAAATTCTATCAAATATCCATCTTCAATTTTTCATAAATCTATTCTTTTCAATTTAAAGTTTCTGTATCTTTGTATTTTTTATTAAATGATTCAGGGATTTGTGAATGTTCTTTACCATTTTCATGTAAATTATCAACGTTATCGATTAAGCACAAGATACAACCGCATGGACATGTTTCGTGGAATAATCAATAGATAGCATCCTTGCAGCTCGTGTTCTACAATATCGACCTTGAAAAAAAATCGAAGGGTTTTTTACGCCCTCAGTGATTTATCGCAATGATACATCGATATATATATTTGAAATTTTTTTTGCAATATATTAATTTTTTACTGCAATTTACACAACAGAGGAATGAAGGATCGAAAAATGAGTGTCAGATGATAGTTTTTACCATTCATTTTTATTAACTTGCAAAATTACCTTAACTGTCTACTCATGCACAGATAAAATTTATAAATAAAAATGTAGGTAAATAGTGAACGTGGGTCTATTTATCGAGACTGTCTAAGCACGCGCATGCGAAATCGAACCACAAATTCGAATTTCCCATGAGGAAAAATAGAATGAAATAATAATAATCGCCTCTTCCTTTTTTTAGGAAGATACAGAAATCGTGGTGTAACGACGCTCGATTTAAAAAATCACGTAACAGATTCTCTAGAACAGTGATAAACCTATCATAGAATAATGAATAAATATAACAATCGAAAACATGGCCAAATGCAATGACGAATAATATAACCAGACGTTTCTCTCGTCCATATTTCGCGTGTTTCAACTTTCGTTCAATGAAAACTCGGTACGCAACTACACTGTCACAACGAAATTTTTACCAAGAGATATACGCATATATATACATAAATATATATGTATATATTTTAAAAAAAAATCATAACGAACTATATAAAAGATACAACTGTGTTAATAGATACATCTTTGGACAGTCAACAAAAGCGATCACTCGCGAGAAAACGATTCTCTGAACGCAGAAACACAATGGAGAAGTTAAATAATTTCTGCGATAAATTACAAGTGATAAACCTATCATTTGGAGAGGCCTATTTGAACGATCGTTTCTTCATTGTTCTTTTTTTTTTTTTTTTTTTTTTTTAACGATAAAATTTCGATTCGTTTTTTAAATTAACAGATAACTCGCCGAACAGATTATTGGCTATTATTGGAAAAATATCAACGACGAACATTTCACGAATTCGTTTCTGCAAATTGTTTTCCTACATCACGTTGCTTCCTCCTTTGCTATTAATCGCGAAAATTCATCGACGTAAAGGAACGTGTGATCCATCGAAACTTGGTGAACACGAATTCTCGACAAACGATTTAAAAAGCGGCTAACGCGATCAACCAAACAGGTACGGGTAACAGCAACAAGAACAACAACCGTATTTTACGAATATCGAGCGCGGCGCGATTCTCTTTTGCAATGTAAATATGTTTATCTCATTTCGGAAGTTTCTTCGATATGTCTTCAGTACCATTGCGAATTACTTACGATATATATTTTGGTAAATTCTTTGGAACCTTTTTTTCTTCCCCCTCCCCAGGCTTTGATATCGAAAGTGATTATCTGCAATGTGGTCCAGTGTTCGAGTATTCCTTTACGGCAAGGAATTTTCTATCAAACGCTCGTTCACGTCGCTCGCGATTTCAATGCTCTGTTAATTAACAAATAACACGAAACAGATCTAAAATTAACTCGCCATCTCACGTGTCGTCTTCGTTATAGCACACATTTCGACTAGAGTAATATTATATATATGTATGTATACGTAGTTAAGATTAAACTTTCGGAAACGAAATTATAATATATATACATTCCAGCAGTCTTGGCAGCTCAAGCGGATTCTGAGTAAATCAATCGTAATACAATATATTCTTCGAAGAATAGCTCCGCGATTGAAAGTAACGATTACATTGTTCGTATAATTACCATTTAATGGAACAACAGGTGATAGAAATTCGCGCGGAAATAAAATCTTTGACGAGCAGTTAATTTAACAATAACAATTAAGGCGTGTTTTTTTTTCTTTTAAGAAACGATTGGAAAACAACAGGGTACAACTCCGACGATGTCCAATATCGCAAATTATAGATTATAGATTAAGTCGAGCCGCGATTAAGAATCCATTGCTGTGGCAGTAGACACTTTCAACAAAATCTTTCTCACCACACGCTCTTCAATGATCGTCTACAAACGCATACGTTTTTTATGGTGTTTTCCCCCAACGAAAAGGAATCTAAAAATAGAATCTCCTTTGCATCTGTGTTCATCGAAAACTTGCATACTTCGGAACCACAATAATTCCTTAACAACGATTTAAAAGGTATGTGTAAAATCTCGATCGCCTTATCAAAGTAATTAAAAAGGGGCGGGAAAAGAAAAAGAATAAAAAAAGAATCGACAATCAATATTCAGAATGCATCGTTCCAAGGAGAACACTATAAAGCGATTTTAACTTAGTTTATAAAAAGCTACGTCCACTCAATGTCCAACAGTTAATAAACGAGAGATTCTAAACAAAAATCCTCGTGAATCTCGAAAACAAATATCACGCTTGCGGTTGAAACGGACGTTTCTAATCATTTAAAGCAGCACAGTTTCTCCGTGTCTTCGTTTTGCTTCCCTCTGAAGGTAACGGAACACATCTCATCTTTGGCTTGTTTTCATCATTTCGCAAGAAACTACCTGCAAACACGTGGAAAAGAAACAGCAATCATAGGTTGTAGCCTGCAACTTCCGGAAAAAAGATAGGACACACCCACGAATTATGAAATACTATTACCAGGTCGAGTTAGAGGAATACCTTACTGTTACGATCTCGCTCCCGATTCTTCGAACGTTCACGTGCGTGCAATACTTTTGCGTACAGTGTTAACACTATTGGCTTACAAGACGATTACATAGGGCAATAACAACCCTTTCAACTCGCAAATCCAACGATGACGAAGAATACTCTCTTCTGACGCGCGATTTCCAGTTGTTGCAGCCTCGGGCTGAAACTAGGATACATATAGTATATTTGTTCGCGGTGTTTCGTCTAAAAAATAACATCCTTCGAACTCGAAAAAAAGTTTAGTTCGTCGGGATGAATTGCTTGAGAATCGACCGGCTAAATTTCTTTTAGAGTCTACAACTACTGTTTAGTTGACTTTCTTATAAACGGCTGCAGCAATTGAAAGACCTGCATTCTTCTTCTTCTTCTTTTTTTTTTTTTTTTTTTTTTTTTTTGTCAAGTGACTTTCTCGCGTTAAGTAAAAATAAGGGTCCGTGATTTGCTGTCTATTTACAACGTGAAGTACACAGTATGTATATCCGTAGAGAGATTGAACAAATGACGCTTGCTTATCACACATCGTCGTGCCGTGGCCTGAATCTTCCTCTCGACTATTCATAGTTACGGATCGATTCGGTGATATCGAAGCTTCCCCGTTTCAAAGAGGATCGTTCGATACTTTCCTCTCGTTAGTTTCTTATCCCATAAACGATAAAATAAGTCCAGTTTCTAATAAAAAAAAAAAAAAAGACTTGCGGATCTGTTTCACTGACACAACATTTCCAAGTTGTTCGACTATATACTGTTCAGGTAAAATGTTCAAATCATTCTTGAATGTCTTTGTACTTCCGAGAGACGATTCGAACCGGATCACCGAATAGATTCGTTCCTATATATGTACCGAGAATCGTTTCACCATAATATACGGCTGTTCACAAAAAGATTACACGACACTCCTATTATATGGAAAACAACTACGCGTTTAGACTATTGAATTGCCACCAGGAGGGAAAAAGGCAATCTCCCCCTCCCCCTTTTCTTTGCTTTCTCTTCCCGAGATTGACGAGTTCAGTTTTTCTCCATTCCCATTCAATTATCGCTCTCAGCGTAATCGTCGCTGTCGCCGCTGTCGTAATATTGATTTCTCGATTGAATGGAATCCGATGGACCGATCGTAGGTAAATCGGTGTATCCTTGGAATTGTACATCTGCACCCTGAAGCATGTCCACGGATTCACTGTCCAGGGTTTCCAGGTTCTGGGAAAACGTGTCCTCTGACATGGAATCGTTTGACCTGGGAAAAATATACACGTCTTTTTTCTTTCTTTTTTTCTTTTTTTTTTTTTCTTTAAATAAAGCTGTCGTAGTTAAATTTGAAATTATAAGTGACAGAACTACAGTACTCTACACAGTACAACGTAAACGTGTCGAAAAACTCGATTAGTCGATGCAACTTATGTTTTAGTAGAAGCAGAAACCGTGTCTAAAAAGCAAACAATTGCGAAACAATCTCGCAAGTGGGCATTTAAAAACTTCAAGCCTCCATATGCATTCTCTGGCTTAGAAACGCTTAATAACGAGCGTTTTATGTTTATATTCATTTCTTTCATTCAGCGATTCAGCGGGAAGTGAGGCTTCCGATGGCATCAGCTACAGTCTTGAAATGTCTTAGCCATCTTGGTCAAGTTGAAATTAATAAATTACGCGCGAGTTCGATACCGAGAGTCAGTTAAAACTCAAACGATACGGGAAATAAAGTAAAAAAAAAAAAAAAAAACAAGATAAAACGAGAAGGAACAAGCGGCCAGCCGACTCTCTAATTGATACATTATGCATACACGGACGTCGTGCATCATGCAGTTCTTGTTTCGTTTACTTACTGCTGCAGATGATGGTTACATTTCATCATCACACAGCCTGCAACAAACGCATAGATCGCACTATGGTCATTACGGTCACAGTACAAAGTGAAATTGTTAGATCCCGCAACAGGGCATACTGTCTATCTAACGACAACGCATGCCACAATTCGAAAGCTATGACTTCCGTTCCATAGCTCGAAATGGTAAGCAAGAACTTTCTATAAGAGCTACGCGACCGGTTCATCTATTGTTATGTTAACGACAACGTTTGAATGTCTCTTTGATTGATCTCGTTTTGATGAATATTCAATGTTGCTAATAAACTTCAATTCATTGATATTAATGGATGACGGCAAAAATTATGAGATTATATGACATAGATGAACCGTGTGTGCAATATTAGTCGCGTGAAATCAACACTTACATTTGCTCATTCTGTTCGTTACCGCTTTCCTCGGTGACCAACAGTTCGTACTCCTCTGCCGCGAATCGGTCCCAATCCGACAGCTGTTGCAAATGAAACAAAGAAGAACAAAGCGATAACAGATATCGGCGAGATACTCGTAACAACGAATAGTTTCCTGATCAATTTAATTTCACTTGCTTCTTTTACCTCGTGACCATCAGGGTCATGCTCTCTGGCAGATGCGAAGGGATCCCTCTGTTCGTGATCCAGGTACTTCTCAAGGTTGAAGAACGTGTCGAAGAAGATTGAAGTCATCTTGCACTTCTTCAAATCGCTTAGAGATATTTTCCCCGGCTTTGCTGGTTTGATCATGTCCAACATCTGTCAAGCAAAGCCGTGCAAAAAAGAATTATTAAATTAATTTAAATATAATATACCTATTGTCCATTCTCAAAATTTCATTTTCAAATTATTCACCTGGCAAAGGCAATCCTCGAAGGGCAACGTTTCCAGTCCAATCGCTTCCATGCGATGCAATTGCTCTTCGTAAAAGTATTCCAACTCGTACATCGATAGATATCCATCGCCATCGAGATCCATGCATCTGTCGGTCATCCAATGGTGAAATGAAACACCTTGTTGTCCGTGAAATTCACTTAACAACTTAAATACATATATTACACGTGAATATACCTGAACCAATATTCAATGGCGGTCGGGTGGTTTTTGTCTTCCTCGCTCAACAGGAACCACACGAATTCCGTGTAACTCATTTTATCCTGGGGTTGTTGAACGCCGTTCCCGCTTTTCACGCCACCCCTGGTCACCGCGCCGCTGAATATTCTCGCGATCATGCGCTTGGAAAGAGCTGTAACGAGCGATCGAGTCAAAAATGGAAAGATCCTCGTAGGCGAGACAGATTTTTTTTTTTTTTTTTTTTTTTTTAAGGAAAAAGAAATCTTTGCTGACCATGATCGTTGTGCTTCGTGAGATCGGTCTTGTCGATGAAGAGATCGTGATCCCGGTCAAGCTCCCAAAACTTGCAGTAGATCACGTAGAAATGCTCGTAGCTGAAGTAGGCAGTCACTTGATTGATGTCCTCTTCGTGCTCGAGGATCGCGATCACCGACAGCAGGTTGCTCCTTCGCAGCTCTGCGACAGAGATTCTCCCGCTCCAGCTTCGGTTCACGCAGTAGAATATCCTGGCGATCACCTGGCGTCAACATTCATCAAGGCACGTCAAACGAGTATCACAAATATCAATTCATCGCGTCAACTAACATCTTCAATATTGAATGTGCAAATACAATATGCAAATACCAGAAGCCAGAGAAAAAAAAAACAGAGATTCTGCTGTGAATTGACTGATGTTAAAAGAAAAAACAGCAGCGTTTCGTTCGTTAAGATGATTTTTCAATGACCAGCAGCACGGCGCGATAATTGCTCGAGGCGAGCACGATCGTCTTGAATAATTCAAAAGCGATCCACGTCAGTTGCGTAAACCACGGTCCATCTTCCGTGGAGTTTCTTTTTCTCTTCTGCCTCTATCTTTGTCCCTAACAAGAGAAATAGCCAGCAAATATTTATCGCGCGAATACGAACCGTGTGTACGTAACGTGAATGGAACTCAGTAGCCTCTTTGAGGAAAGTTAAACCGGGATGGGTCTCGACCACGTCTTGCACCAGTGGGATCAAATCCTCTGGTAGTATATTGTTCCTCTGGCCCCGGGTTGTAATTCGTATAAATTTGCTCGCTGCGTCATGGTGGCTGTTGGACATTCTGCGAACAATCGGTCCCACGATATTCGTTAAATCGAAGAGCAACTTTTCTGCTTAGCAAAATTAACCCTTTGCCCCCGACAAACTGTTTTGGCGTCATCTGCCAGCAATTTATTTACGAAGCGTCGTCATTTCAAATAACAAACAACATGGCAAAAATTGGAAACGATCATTCAAATAGTATTTAACACGAAATTTTGTTGATTGTATCTTTGTGACATGTCAATAATCAACGTCCATTGCGGATTTGCTAGGAACAAGTATAACATACAAAAGAGTTAATGATACATAGTTTCAGTCCCTGGAAAAATAATATCCCCTATCATTTTTTCAACTTTCATTTATATGCATTACTCCGAATTACGTGAATTACCGAGCGTCAATTGGCTCATTTAGAACTGTCTTCGGAAAATTTTTCTTCTGAGATTCTTTTGTTCTTATTACGTCGTTATTATAGCATGTCCGGATATTGTACTATTACACATCGCATCATACAACGCTAAGTGTACACGTTCACGATTCAATTATCAGCAAATTATAAGAAGAGGAAGTTTGAGCTGTTGGCTAGATTCGAGTACGATGTCCCCTCGTATGGGACAATCGAGTGCAAAGGGTTAAAACGTTCGATTGTTTGAATTGTCTACGATCTATTCTTTGATTCTACAGAAGGTACATATCGTTGCATACTCTTTCCAAAACTCGAGGAACGCGTTCATCTCGACGTAGCCGGTCTGATCTCCGCCGGCTGCGAGGAAAAGCGGCACCTTCCAGTAGAGCGGCAAGTCGCATGCCTGTAAGACAAATCACATAAATCCTTTGTACGCAGCTGTTCCAGCGACAGAGCACGTTAGAGTTACGGCTTTCCCACGTGAAATCCCTCACGGCCCACGTGAGAGAGCACGCGAATGGTCAGGATCGAATCTCAAACATGTTAAAACGGAGAACGACCAAACGAGGAAAAATGTTGTCCTCGAGATTTTCTTCTCTTCTCTTGACGAGTTATACGACTAGATATGCGTCTTTACCTTGGTAATGGTGTGAAATTGGGCACGAGAGGCACGATGACCGGGAAGAGTTTGAAAAGCAGCAGTGATCCTCGCGACGGTTGCCTCCACCTGCGACAACGGCAATGGTTTCCCACCGGGGAAGTAAAATCTGCAATAGAAATTTCGCGTGACTGATCCCTCCTCGTACGTTCAAGCAACGTTGTATCGTATATACGGGTTTGATCAACGTTTACCGTGGTATGTGAACGTGGTTTCTGTTCGCTTTCACGTGCCTCTGGAGTGTCGTGTGCGGTGGCAAGCTCTTTTGCTGTGTCTTGTCTTTCGCGTACGTCTAGAACCAACAAGCATCGTTCCGGCCAGACTGATTGGGACCGTGGAAAGCAGCAAAATCGCAGCCTACGTTCGATTATAATTATTTCTTTTCCGAGCGTGGTTGCGATTTTTCTACCTTTGTGTGTTTACATTAACCGCAAACTGTAATTAGAATTACTCAACCTCGCCTGCGTTCCTCGAGTCTTTTAAAAACTATTTCTATCTAGAAACTAGAGTGCAAATATAATTTCGCGCGCGCGTCGTTTGAAAAATCTGCACTGTTAAAAAATTGCCAATGTCTTTTTGCTTCGTAAGAGAAAAAGGACTCGAGAATCGCAGAACAAAGTTCATGTCGCAACGCAAAGTACTCTCGTAGGTAGGTGTTGGCGAATCTAAATTGGCTTTATTTCCTCCGTGTAATTTCCATCATTACATAACTTCGTTTACGTCGCGTGTTACAAACAAAGGAGCCACGATCCAGATCTCGTTATATTGTCCCGAGCTTCCGGTCGCGAGGGATTCCGGCTGCAGCACCCGGAACTGTCGGTGTGTCCAATCGATCGATTCGTCGACCAGCCGCGCAATAATTTTACGCTTCTTCGAAAGTCGCCGCTCCGAGGCGAAGATATCGTCGGCGCGCCAAGGACACGACATCCTGTTACGCGACGCCAAGGATCCGAAGAATGCAAAGAGGCCGGCCAACGCGGCTATAATGCATCGCCTCGCCCATGTGACGACGTGGTTACATCACGATCTTCCACCTATACACGCTGTCGTTGGTCAACATCACGGTCAAGAGAGACGGGGAGATGTTTCAACGTAGTCGAACGATGGCTACGAATGATCTGTCCTTCTGCCTCGTTTTTTTTTTTTTTGTCAAAAGTGGAGGAAAGAAACGAGAGAGAGGGGGGGAGGGGGAAGAGATGTCAACGATCGCTTGGACGAAATAGTGGCAAGGCTAACGACAGCAGCGTCAATTATAGACGGTTGGGAAGAAAATACTGCGCGCAATAAAAATAGCGGCGGTGGAGCTTCTTCGATGGGAATCCGTTTAAGGAAGATCAATAATGCACGGCCGTTCCACGAGGCGAAAATAAGGCAACGTCCGCTCGAGTGACCGAACGATGTAATCGTCGATGGAACGTCCCAGATCGAGCACACCGGGGGGATAACATCGAGGGATACCTAACGTCGAATGAAAATAAATTTCCCCCTGAAAACGGGAAACGGTTGCCGTTCTCGGCAGCGAAAAATTAACAAAACAGCTAGAAACTAGATAGCAGTAGCAGTCGTTGCGAAATCCCGGAATAGATCAGGTCCACGTCCCGTGACATTGAGACAGATTAGGCGAAACGGCCGGTACAATTATCGTACCACGATCTGATGTTTGGCACGGTTCGCCGCGTGACACACGGGATACGGTCAATCAGCGTTCCAATTGACATAGCGAGTTTCACTGCGCTTCTCGATCGAGTTCTCGGCTCTATCAATCGGCCAAGGATCACACGTTTTCATGCTAAATGCTCGACCTTCGCCGTTCGACCGATATCTCGAGATTTTCATTCAACATACGTACCTCGATTCATCGAGGAGAGAGCGTTTCCGCGTTCGTAAACACATTTCAGATTAATTGGACTCTGGATGGCGTTTCGTCGAGATCCTGATTGAATTATGCAATTACATATAGATATGGAGAGGGCTGCAGAGAAAGTTGAAGAGATGCGCCAACAAAGGGACCTAATTCATCGATTGGATTCGACGGCCGTGGTTCGTTCCACGGGTTTTGATCTAGAGCACGCGAGCTGGATTTTCCATTTAAACGTTCGAGGATTGAATAGCCACGTTTGAACCGGTGAAATTTGCATGTTGCAAATGTCGAATTAAACCACCGTGTCGTTTAGAAACTATTCGATTCGAGCTGGGTTTCCTTCCTGGTTCCTACTGTTCTAACGAGCCTCGCTTGTAGTCGGTCACGGCGAACTTTCCTCGACTGCTGGAGAACTGCTTTTCAACCATAAGAGGTGATAGAGACTCGGCCTCTCGCGTTCGAGAGCTCCAAGGCGACAGTAAAGCCGGCCTTTTAAAAAAAATCTAGCACGATATCCAATACGGAGCGGTCGCACAATGAGTCAGTCAGCCAGATATTCGCCGACGAGAACGATCTCTCGCCGTTAACCCCAAGGGCGAGCTCGAAACTTTTTCCTATTTTCTTTCTTTTCGTCCGATGTCTCACGTTGGTCTTCGCCTTCTCCCATATCGGGCTGTATTACACGCGCGCGGCGTCATCGCTCACGCGTCGTTTCCAAGAGGAATTTTAATTACACGCGATACCTGGAAATCCCGCGTGATCGCCTTAAGCCATTCTTCAATTAATCCCACCTGGCAATTTCAAGCAAAATCACCTAATTCCAGTAAGTCCTGGCGCGCGCGAGCTACCGCACAATGAACGAACGAATTTCTCCACGATAAATGACAGCGACGTTGTTATTTAACCAACGGCACGCGGTCGAGAGCTGTCCGATTCCACTTATGGCCATGGTGGTCCGCTTTATTCCTCTCCTCGAGGTCGAATAACATTAATCGTAACGAAAATAACCGAGTGTGCGAGTCAGTGAGGAGAGACACGCCGTGTTTTCCGTGCAGTGGGGCATTCGGCCGATCTAGCTGGAACGCGTGCGATTGGATTTTTCTTTTTTTTTTTTTATAGTTCCCAATGACACCCAATTAAAATTTTCGTCCGACTTTCTCAGCCAAATATCCCATTTGTCGATTAAATTAATCGAATCTTCCGCTCCGTCCATTTTTATTTTATTTTATGACTAGTTTTTTATGGTTCAAACAGTCGCGAGAATCGACGACGAAAATACACGCGGGCAGTGGACTTGTTTCGCGGTTGTTCCCAAGGATAAGAAAATAAATCTGGCGCTGCGGATACATCCAGAAAGCTGGTCGCTTTCTTTCTGAAAAATACAACGAATTTTCCTCGAGGTTCCTTTGTGCCTCGAGGTTCTTGCGCAACGCGAGAAGCGAACGTTTGCAGCCTCTCTGCTGCCTCAGCCTTTGCATCCATAAATATCCACGTGTTCCGGCGCACACGCTGGAATCCGTGGAATCTTGTTGTTTCCCCGTTGTTTATCACGACGACGTTGAGACCTCTCGCCGTCAATTTTCTCGAATTAATTCCGAGAGCAGCGAGCAGAATTTCTTTCAACAAATGAAAGTGAATCCAAGCTGAAAATGCAGTGAGAACAATGCCTCGAGCCGCGTGTATTGTCTCGGCGTTCAGCAACGCCATATTGGAGAACCGTGGCTTATCACACGCGGTGAACAGCTCCACGATGAACTAGCACTTTGGTTACCCACTTTCGAGGAAGATTCGCTGATTAAGATCAGCGACTTCCGTGATTCTCGATGGGATTCGGATCGAAGGTGGGAAGAACGAATTTTGAGAGGGGGCATTTTGATTCTGAGGGTTTTGTTGGAAGTGATTATAGAGTCAGGAAGATCGATGGACGTACTCGAAACAACAATATCGGTGTTCGACTAGGGGAAACCGAGGACGATAACGGTTTTTGGCAGGCGATACCGTGCCAGGTATATTCCTCCCCTTTCTGGCCGTGATCCAGAGCAACTTTTCAGACTCGTAAGAACGTTTCTTTCTTAATTGTTCGATCAATTTAAACCTGTGTTTTCCTTCTTTTTTTTTTTATTTTATTATCATCACGTCTGAGAGTGACATTGAAATTTTTATAGAAAGACTGGCACGAAGATTGACTCCAGAAGAACAAGCTAAGCAAACCTAAGTAGTCTTTGAAGAGGTCGAGTGCTTTAACACGATTCGGAAACAATGACGGAGTGGGTCTTCGACGTTCCAATATTCCTCCTACGTTCGGTACGTGATTTGAAGAACGTTCCGATTTACCAACATCGTCGAAATCGTTCCGAGAAGGGGATCAAAGGGAGGCGAGCAAATTCGATATAACAAAGACACGAGAGGAGCGTCGATGCTCGGGGGTGGAAAGACTCGAGGCATGCAGAAAACGACCTCTATGCGAGAGAGATCTTGAACTCGTTTCGAGACAAAAGTGCAGGAGTCGACCGGTCGAACATCCTCCTAGGGAAGGAGGAATTTGGACGGCGACCAAAAACGTCCGATATAAGCCAACGAGAGTGGCAGGAGAACGTGCGAGAGAAGACACGTTTCGAAGACGGCGAACATCGTCGGCGTGGACGTTCTCGCAAGCATCGCCTCTCGTTCAGTCCCGATTCGACTCTCGTTCCAGGAAAAACGTTCGTTGCAAACGTTCGTCGGTCTGTTAAAAGTTCTCGACTGGCTGAAATCCTCGCTCGTCTTTTTCGAAATCTTCTCATCCGCTTCTAATCTGTGTCCGCGGCTCGAATTCGACGTTCAAGGACAAACTTTCGCGAATTCGCGATTGACCCGAAGCGATTGATCGTTCGAGTCGAGTCAACTAGAAGGTAATTACGGAATTGTGGCAAGCGTCGACTCACCTGGGCCTTGTTCTGAACGTCGTGCCCGGTCCTCCAAGTGTTGATGGCCGGTTGCCGTGGCCCCCGTTTGTCGAGCAACAGCTCGCTCGGACACTTCTCGAAGATGAGAACGCGTTCCGCGACGGATCCTCTGGTCAGAAACGGTCTGATGGGATTGTTCCCGGTGCCAGTCGCAGCGGCAGCCCTTATGTGCTGCTTTTGCTGCGTGGTCAACTCCGGATGGGGTACTTGCTCGATCCTCGGTCTAGGAGAATTGATCCTGGGACCCCATCTGGACGTGACAGGATCCTTCTCCTCCTTGCTAGCCTCCTTGTCCTTTTGTATCTCCGTTTCGAACTTGGACCTCGTGGTCGACACCAGCTGCTCCGTGGAATTGAAACTGTTGTTCGTCCTCTGCTCCTCCAGTCTCTGCTGAGTCGGAGGATTCTGCTGAGCCGCCCGGTATCTGACCTTCGCGTAATCCACCACGGACATGTTGGACAGATCATCTTTGCTGAGTGATTTCGTGTCCGACGTGGCGCTACCGACGTTGCCGCCAGACGTCGGGGATACGACACTGTTCACCACTGCGGCGGAAGTGGCCACCAGACCGGCCGCGTGATGATTGTGACCAATGATTATCGGCTTGACAGGCTCCACCTTCGGCTTTTCCCTCTTTATCGCCGGTTTCTGGCGAGTCAAAGGGAGCACCGTTCGCTCCGCGGGCTCCTCCGTGATCACCGAGCCCGTCTTTAGGGCATTTATCAGTCTCTCCTCCTCGCGGGCCACCTCGTCGAGATAGACGCTCGAGTTGGAGCTGCTGTTTCTCTTCTCTTCCTTGTTGGCCAACGATTTCGCGACCTCCTGCTGGGGCGATCTGCAAGGATCTGTCACTCTCTTACTGTCGTTCAGTTTGTTCTTCAAGGGCCACGTGGTCAATCCTGAATTTGTCGGCGAGTCGTCGTGATTGGAGGCGGTGGGTGAAGTGATCACCGTGCTCGTCGGCCTCTTCTGCTGCACGACGATCTTCGACGGTGTTATGTCCGCGGGGAAGGTGGTCTCGATGGTTTCCAGAAATACTTCACGGTGGTGAGCACCGGGAGTTTTCGTGGACACTTGAGGTTTCACTATCTGCGACGGCTTGTTCGCAAAAGGGGACGTTGGAGACAACAAAACGTTCCCCTGTTTCGCTTTTATCACTTGGTTGCCAATTTGGTTGCTGTTCTTCAGAGGAGATTGTTGCTGCTGTTGTTGCTGCTGCTGCTGCTGTATCGAGTTCTTCTCGAACTTCTCCAACGCGAACTGTATCGACGAGGGTAGGGTCTTCGACGGCGATCTCTGCCTCGACGCGGCTAACCTAGCCTTGTCTTCCACCACGAAATTGTTCACCAGCTTCTCCAAGTTGCCGTTGTCGAGGCTTGGCGTTTGACTCAGTATGTCCACCGCATTGGTGGGGCTCGCAGCTGTAGGAGTGACTTTCCCGGTGCTGTTCGGGCTGTTGGATGCAGACGTCGGTGTGAGAGCAGTACCAAATTTGTCCGCGGCCGTGGCATTGCTATGACAGTTGAGTATCTCGGTAGGAGCTAGACCGCGGCTCTTCCACGTCTGATAGATCGCCTCCGCGTGATCGCTGATCTGTTTGGCGATCGCGGCGATGTCCTCGTCACCAGACGTCGACGTCTCTGTCGGGAACTTCTGACGCAGGTCGTGCTTCGCGGTGGCCGCCATGCTCGGGCAACGTTCCTGCTGTGTCGGACGCTGCTGCTGACGCAGCTGGGGATGGTGCTCGAGCAGGAAGCTCGCGGTGCGTCTGCTCAACTCGGTCGAGTGGTCCAAGACTAACTCGGCGAGCCGTGAATCGTTCTCAAGCGGGACCACGTTCACCGGGATCGCGTAGCCGAAGTGAATCGCCTGGCAGTCGACCTGCTGCTCGCGGCCTGTTCGAGTTTCGTTCACCAGACAGGCGTTCAGGTCGGGACAGTGTACCGCCCGGCTTGGCCGTGGATCGACGGTCACGGGGACGAAGAGGTCGCGTCGGGTCGCGCAGACCCGGCGCTCGATCGTCTCGATTTCTATCGCCAGCTGTCGGCCAGCGACACCACCAGTGCTCGACGCCGCCGTTTCGGTATCGAGCTTCGACGACGACGACGGTGACGACGATGATATCGTTGACGATGCTTCCGTGATCACCGAGCCTGCCGCTGTTGGCATATCTCAGGCCAGCTGGCCCAAGAATCTCGTTCTCCACGTCGGCCACGACGGAAGTCGAGCCACTGTCCACGCGATCTTCGCTCCCTCTGCCTGTCCCCCCATCCTTCGATTTTCTCTTTCTTTCCTTCGATCTTTCTTTCTTTTGCCAGATCGCTCGTTCTCGATCGAGACACGTTCAGACAGTCAGGTAAGACTTTTTTTATTTAGCAGGCATTGAATCAACGGAGGAGAAGGAAGGGAGGAAATTTCTTGTTTTGTCACAGAGAGTCTCAACCGGCGCGCGAGAGTGAGTTCACATTGGGATACACCGTTAGCATGATATAGTTTAATTATAGACCGAGTATGTCCACTGTTACTGCGGCGGAATTTCCTGATGGTCACGCAGCTGGTGGCAGTCGATCGAGCTACATGTTCGCATTCTTCGATGTACACCGGACGCACCGCGATCTGAAAGAGAAGATAAATATAAATTAGCATTCATTCTGGCCGATATGCGAGATGGATATGTATTTTCGGACACGTTACGCCGCTGTGAAACCAAGGAGATCGTGTCCTATAAATCTCACCCTTTGTCCCGAGCACGTACGTGCAATTGGAAATGATTCATCGCGGCAGCTCGATAAGAATGATAATTATAACCAACGTAACGAAAAAGTAAGCGTGATCCCAGGTATTACCTCAATCACAGAGACCCTTCGAAATCTTAATTAGCATCGTGTGTTTTCACTAAAACTGGTTTCGAGTTACAGCGCGTTCGTACACCTCGAGAGGATCCGTTTCTGAAAGAACTACCATTATTCGAATCCTCATTTAGGTTCGCGAAGCGCCTCGAGCGGCACGATAACGGCCAATGGAACACAATTTACGATCTTGCTACGTTTCCTGCCGAACCTTCGCCGTATTCCATATAATTTACATTCCAACTCTGTGAAGTCAAGTAGTACGTATCCTGTCCGAGCTTCTCGAAGCACAAGAAACGCGTTGTCTAGGTTTTTGCGTCCGAGCTAGATCGCGACGAGGTGATCGGGTACTTTCACCCTGCTGATTGCTACGCGTATGCAAACGAGTGCGTACAGGCACCGTGACCAAGCGTGTGCGCGCGTGCATCGGCTTCGATCGCGCTCGAATCGTAACCCGTGCACGTTACGCGTTCCTCACCTTCCCCCGATCCCTGGCCCGTTAACCAAGCAAGGGGAAATTTGTATTCTCCGAGCGAAGCTTTCTCTCTGTCCCCGGAGTGGCCGACACGCGTTTGCCAACTTACTGACAATGACTCCTTCAAGAATCACTTCGTATTCCAACCGCGCTTCTATCAAGAAGTCGAAGAGACTTCGCCGACGAGATATTTCAATTTCCAACGCTTTTACGTAAGTTAGTCTCTCGCGACTAGAATTCGTGCTTTCTATTTCTGTTGACGGTCATCTCTCTCTCTCTCTCTCTCTCTCTCTCGTTATTTTTCTCTCAACTCTCATCTTGGACTCTCGCTCGTAGATTGCAACGATAGATAAGCCCCGCGTCGTTTCGACAAGAGTTCGATGATAAGCGTGTTCCACGTAACCGTGACGTCAACCAGCTGATTTCCACGTTGTTGCGTAAATCGTCGTCGTGTGTAATAATCGGCCGTGTCTTTTTTTAGTTGAGGAATCTAGCAATGGAACCCGCTGGCGTCACCGCTTTTCGTTCGGCGTCCCTGCGACACATGCCAAACGAATTGCCACTGACGCACCACCGTTTCTGTCAAAGCGTGTTTCTCTGATCCACGATCATCCATCGTCTTTGCCCATGGTGTTCTTCCTCTCGCGTAGGCCGAATATCTGTACTTATGAGAATTTGACAGGCACGTAGCAAGAGATTCTTCGCATCGCTACTTTCGACATCACGCATACTCCAATAAGTTGCTTCGCAATAAAGTGAGACGTCGTATACAGTTAGAGGCCCCCTATAATGTGGACTGAAAATTGCGTCACTGTCTAATCGTATAAATGTTGTTGAAAAAGAGGACTCGTTCCTGTATAAAAATGTGTGCGTCTGTTCGCGCATGATTTAAGCGAAACGAAGTCTGCTGATGATTGATTGATTGACTGTCATGTTTCTCGTATACCTGAGATATCAAGGATTCTTCCCTTCGATACTAATACTGGATCGTGAGAGCTGAACTAGGCTGTTCGGACGTCGTACGAGTTCTCTCTTCGATGGATCGTGAGAGCTTGAACTAGACTGTTTGGCAGTCGTAAGAATTTCGACTTGCAAGCCGATGAAAAGCAGGGAAAACTGCCTTGTTTCCCTTTCCATCGGCTTTTCAAATTTTTTGGCTCTAAGATGGGGCATAACAGCAAGCCCTTGCGCTGGCAACTGGTTCGCGGACCATAACGAGTGACCGAACTGTATACAATAATTCGTCGCTTTCTTTTTCTTTTGAACTCGCCGGTATGATATCACTGGATAGAAATGATTAAGAACTAACAACCTTATCATTTGTTTTGCCTGGATTACATTTAAATATACTTAAAACTGAGAAAATGTTGCAATTTGGGACGAAAAAATTCTCGACGTGCGTGGCACGTCATTCCAGCGCAAGAGGTTAAAGTGTGTATTATGGAATTCATTTGAATTACAAAGTAGATACTGATCGATTACTGTAAGGTAAGGCAATCTTTGTTTCACTTATATTTATTTGTCAGAAATAAGAAATAATATTTTTCAGCCATGACTCCAGAAAAGATAAGCCGAGCAGAAGGTTTATATCGTTAGAGGAAAAATTAGAAACTCTTGATCGGTCGTAATCTGATGATAAGTTAACATCTCTTTCCAAGAAATTTAACAGAAATGAATCAATAATTAGGAGAAATGAAAGTAAAAGATAAGAGCTAGAGCTTCTGGCTGGAGCGTCATCAAGTTTAAAGAAATCCTCTCGCAAAAACAAAAACAGAAAATCGTTCAATTATATCGATAGAAGATTGCAAAAGAAAGAATATTCCTTTGAATACTTTAACAAGACAGAAAAAAAGAATTATTTAGTTATAGTTTTCTGCGCTTTCGGATTCATATAACGTGTTCTACTGTGTTTCCTAATCTTCGGCCAGCTGACAACGAGTCCCAAGTTCGTGTCAGGCGATTCTCGGCGATATTCTAAATCTAAATATATATTCATTCGCCGCGAGATAAAGACGATGACGTAACAACACGGCGAAAATTATAAATTCTTTGCGGGAATACGACGTGAATCTTTGAATGGAGGCATTCTCGTCCCACCGGATCGTCTAACGCGTTGTCGAAACGCGTGGCACAGAACAGAAAGCTCGTGATACACAGCTGGGGGCTCTCTCTCAATAAAAATAAAGTATACTTCCCTCGACCTGGTTTCCGAGTTACTGCCCACCAGATTTCGCGAATCAACAACCTCCTGTGCGCCAACCTCGCCGGGTTCCCCACCGTTTTCTATCTATGAATCACTTTGGTGCCAAGTGATAACGGCACCACCTACTTCTTCTCCAATGTCCAACCAATATTCGACCAAACCCAACGAAATCGGAGCATCCTTCGGGACTAAGGAAGAACTTTCTGCTCTTGTTCATCCCTCGGACGATTCATGTCCATTTCACCGTAAAAGATCCGCCAGGGAAATCACGATGTCCGCTTCCGCGTCGACTGAAATCGGAAATCTCTCGACTCGACGGCAGTGGAGTTTACAAGCGAGTTTACCTTACGAATTTTCGGTCGGAATTACCTGGTGGAGCGTCGAACCCGCGAAACGTGTTCCTGGAACGGTTCCAGGAGAGGATCCGAGGATAATCGACGAACGTGAACGGCCAACAGTATGTCCGCTCGGGCAACGATCGCGCATCGCGCCGCCCGATAAGTGTACATCGTGTGTCAGTCTGTCACGTACCGGTGTACGCGCTTCGTTTTCCACGTAGAAGGGACTGTACGGCGTCGCATAACTCGGTCACATTTGCGGTTTGCATCGTTAGAACGGCGATACGGCCCACTAAAAATAGCGGCCGAGCCAATATCGATACGACGGTTGAACGGTGTCAATCCCGGTGGATCGGGACCAGATCGCGGGGTCGCGCGACGTGCAGTTTCCGCGTGTACGCGATAATCTTGCCATTATTATTCTTTCACTTGCTTCTTTATTTCGTTTGTTCATCGAAATATTGAAATATTGTCGAAGAGCGTCTTGTCGAACGTTGTAACGCAATCGAAATGAAAATAGGTGAAAGATAAAATTTATATAGTTGACGTTTCATTCAAGTACGTTTAAGTATAATTTTTTGTTTCTTTGTTTGTTTTAAGACTGGTACTTCCTACACGATAATTTGTTAGCTGATGATATCACTGAATCAGAAAATTCACGATTCGTACGTTTCAAGCTTCTTTCATACAATTTTACAACCTTGCGAATCAAAGAAATTAAGGATAATTGAAGATTTGAATTTGCAAAATTTCATTTGTATTACTCATACAAATGAAAATCGTAAAGTCGTAAACTCTCGTAGAGACAACGCAACTACTTCAGAAAGCGTTAATTACTTTCGATCTAGTTTAGATCGTGCTTGGCTAAGACGCATCGACGCGTCTCGTGCAAACCTTCAATTTGCTTATCGTCTACGAGGGAAAAGTGGGACAACGTAAGTGGAAAGAATAGAGAGATCCGAGGCGTTGAGACGCAAGGCAACGCGAAGGAAATTAGTTCAGACAGTTTCACAATCCAAGGCGAGAGGGGTGTCTCGTTATAAATAGTTTCTTAATGCAGCGCGCGGAAGAAGAAGAAAAAAAGAAAAATCGATTTCAAGGATGGCCGTATTTTTCGCCATCCGACACGGTCCACGGATTCCGACATCGATCTGCCGGCAAAATATAGAATCCCTCCATCTATAATCATTCGAGCTCGCCTGATCGTTTAACACTACGAACGTCGCGTTGTTTCAGCTTGACTTTCTTCTTAAAAATATCATTCTTGGAGATATCTCGTAAAAGTCAATTTCCTATTATTTTAAGCGCAAAGTAAAACCCTCTTTTCTTATTATTATTAGCGAACGGTCAATCTGATTCGACTTGGCCTTTCTAATATTTTTCCGAAGGAAATTAAAATATTTCGATAGCTCAAATTGTCCAATTATTCTACTGCTTATATTAATATTAATGAAACGAATCTGTCAGAATAAAATCAAAATCTCTGATTGTATGTTCAATGTAATTTATACCAGATAATTTTCACAGATGAAAGAAGTCTGACACGCATTTCCATTTTCACTGGAGACCTTCGTTTCTATCATTTACCATCGTTTATCGTTTCGATTCAAGTGGAACTGTTGGTTTCAAATTCGAAGAACGAAGATAAAAAAAAAAACGAAAAAAGAAAAGGAAAAAAAGGAACAATTTGGTCTTGTATCATATGCAACGCACGGTGCGTTGAGACTGCGTGAATTTCGTCGAAGAAACGC